AATGTGGCTATTAGGAAATTTAAAATTATACATCGCATATACACCCATTGATTAGGGCTGCAGTTTGGGACCCTCACAAAGGTCTCAGTAAAGCTTCCCAAGTCTGTGTTATTTCTTTTCTCGCTAAGGTCCCCTACCTTGGCAATGCCTACATGACTAATCACAGGCCTTTTTATATTGGTTTTGAGACAGGGTCTTATGTAGTTCAGGCTGCCTTAGAAATCCCTATCAATTCAAGGTGAGCTTGAACTCCCGATCTTCCAGCATCCACCTCCCCAGTGCCGGGATTACATATGTGCACCCACATGCCTGCTTTCTGACTAGAGGTTTTGACACTAACCCCCACATTCCTTTCCTCACCGTCCCCAGAGAGCAATGCAGCAAGCAAGCAGAGCTGGGTAACAACAGACGATCCTAGAACCCTGGTAGTGACTGTCTTCCTAGACCTTTTTTTTTTCTCTTCTCACAATTCTTTTGAAGAGGTAGATGAAGTGAAAATGTCTCTGAATCCTCCTGGCTCTAAAAGCCACATATCAGCAACACCAAATCGCAAGCACTTACAAGCAACAGCAACACTAAGGAAGCAAACGCAGCGGGTGGTTAGCCATTCATCACCAAGAATGTGGTTATCCCATCAGAGGCTAAACATAAGATATCACACTGTCATTAGCCGGGAAGAATATTTATGCTGCTCTTGGACTGGTGCCCAGGGACAGAGTATTAACAAAGTCCTTCAACTGGGCTGTGCTTTTAAGTCTAACATCAGTGAAAACCCTGTTTGTTTAAACGAAGATTAGCTGTTGTTTGCTGTGCTTACTGCCCTTAGTAGTTTGAGTGACTATTCTTGACTTTCTCCTGTGTAAAATGTACTTGTTTGGGGACTGGAGGGATGGCTCAGTAGTTAAGAGCACTGACTGCTCTTGAAGAGAACCCAGGTTTGGCTCTCAGAACCCATATAATGTAGCTCATAGACATCCGTAACTTCAGTTCCAGGAGGTCTGATGCCCTCTTCTGGCCTCTGTGGGCACTGCACACAGGTGGTGCACATACACAGACTCTAGAGACACACACACACACACACACACACATTTAAAAATATTCTTGTTAAAAAGAAACTGTTCAGAAACACAGATGACTTACCTTGATAATTATTTTCCACTGAACTTAAGGGACTGGGTGGTGCTGCTGTACCTACAGCCATGTATTTAGTCTCTGGCTAAGTGGACTAGGAGGAAGATGTCTGCTCCACTTGTCTGCAAGGATGGTCCAGCCATGCCAGGGTTGGAAGCCCAACACTGCCCTTCTCCCTCACGCTTTCCTCCCTTCTGGACTCTCGTTTTGACTGGGACCCACCAACCAATCCTGCACAGAATACCAACCTCCAAATAAAAAGGGGACATCTCCGGCCTTTCCTTTCTCTACATAACAAGAAAACACACAAGAGTTAAGTTGAACCTCAGGTCAATCTGCCCTCTGTGGTAATGAGATTAAGCATCAGGGGCTTCCTTGGGAGGAGTGAGTTGAGTGTGCTGTGTTGAGTCCCATTTGTTGCTGTTCCAGTCAGTTTATGCAGCCTTGAGTTGACAGCAGATGGGATGCCCTGGTTAGGGTTTCTTTTGCTGGGACAAAACACTATAATCAAAGGTAACTTGGGGAGAAAGGGTTGATCTGGCTCACTCTTTCTCATCAATGTTCATCATCAAAGGAAGTCAGGGCAGAAACTGAAGCAGGGCAGGGACCTGGAGGTGGGGCTGATGGACGGGTGCTGCTTACTGGCTTGTTCAGTTTACTTTCTTACAGACCCCAGGATCACAAGTCAAGGGTTTCCCCACCTATAATGGACTGAGCCCATACCTATTACTCACTAATTAAGAAAATGCTCTACAGTCTTGTCTACAGCCTGATTTTTTTTTTGTTTGTTTGGTTTGGTTTTGTTTTTTTCAAGACAAGTTTCTCTGTAGCTTTAGAGCCTGTCTTGGAACTCACTCTGTAGATCAGGCTGTTCTTGAACTTGCAGAGATCCACCTGCCTCTGCTCCCAAGCGCTGGGATTAAAGGCGTGCACCATCACCTGGTTTACAGCTGGATCTTATAGAGGCATTTTCTCAGTTGAGGCTCCCTCCTCTCCAATGACTGTAGCTTGTGTCAAGTTGACATAAAACTAGCTAGCATATTGCATATTACAGAATTAACCACTTCAGCATTTTTATATTTTGGATTGTGAGCCTAGCTAATGGCTGACCCATCATCTTTCCAGTCCGATCTCTGTATTTCTAAAGGAAAATCTTCAATCCTTCCCTTCCCTTCCTTGTTTTTGTTTTTTAAATTGTGGGGAGGCAGATTTTCCTAAGAACAGTCTAGAAGTGTCCCTGTCAGGCATACCCTGACAGGTTTGCGATGAAGGGTCTTACTTCCGACCATGCTATGCAGATGGCTTGGTTAGTCTGCAAATGGAAAGTGCCCAGCCAGGTGGGCCACATCTGGTCAAGCCCTGACGGAGGGGACTTTCCCCACTTGTGGCAGAGAACAGAGACTAGAAGCTTGAGATGCATCCTCTTCTCCAACAGAGATGGCCCAGTGACGAGCGATGCAGGTGAGGGTCCCTCCCCCAGCTAATTGCGACCACAAAAGAAGGAATCCAGACCCAAAGCCATTAAGAACTGGACTCTGGCAGCCCCTAGAGGGACCCTGGAGAAGGTAAAGCCTGAACTTGACACCTGGGTTTTGATGCCAGCAGAATCCATGGAGACTTCTGAGCTACAGAGGTGTGATCAGGGCAGGTCTGGTTTTTGATGCTAAGTTTGCAGCAGCTTGTGTAAAGGAAGCGCAGCACACCTGGGTAGCCCATTCAGTTGTTTCTGTTTTTTCTTTCAACTGTTTACCTCTATGAAGAGTATTTGTGTTAGGGTGTCTTCACAAATGCAGTTATTTCATTACCAATGGTAATGTGTTCTTTAGTCATCAATGCCAGGTTCATCACCAGGTACAGCTGACAGGAAAAAATTCCCGCCTGGTTCTTGGGAAGACAAAAATGCAATAGGTTGTGATAACAGATTTCAACTATCACTGACCAATTTATCTGAAAGAATCAGGGAATGGAAAGATGGCTCTGTGGTTAAGAGCACTGCCTGCATTTCCAGAGGGCACGAGTTTTCTTCCCAGCACTTAAACAGTAACCACAACCATCTGTAACTCCCACTCCATTTCGGAACAGCTGACCTGAGCTTGTGGGAGCTCATGGATTCTGGACCAACAGTTAGGGAGCCTCCCTGGTACCAACCTAGGCCCTCTGCATGTGTGTCACAGTCGTGTAGCTTGGTCTCTCTGTTCAGGCTCCTAATGTGTCACAGTTGTGTGGCTTAGTCAGTGCAGCTCCCAGCAGTGAGGTCAGGACCTGTCCCAGGCGTTTAGTTGGATTTTGGGAACCTGTTGCCCATGCTGGTTCAGCCTGAACTTGATGCCCCGTGCTTTGCTCAAGCCCACGGGAGACCTGCCCCTTTCTGAGTGGAAACAGAAGAGTGGAAGGAGAGGAGGGAGGGGAAACTGCGGTCTTATGTAAAATAAATGAAAAAAGTGTTATTTAAATAAAAAACTAGTACAACCAAAATAATATTGAATAAAACCTAGCTGTGGTTTTCCTTTTTAAAATAAAATATACATTTAAAAAATTTTTAAAAATTGACTTCAACAGAGTAGCTTTTTCGTGGAGACGGGAGGTTATTTCCTGGAGCATGGTCACCATATCCGTGCCTACAGCACCTCCTCCCCAGCAGGAACTATCAAGAACACTTGCAGAGGACTGGATTAAGTTCTCAGCACTCACACCTGGCAGTTTCCAGCTGTCTGTAACTCTGGGGCCAGGGGATTTGATGGCACCTTCTGGTCTCTGAGGGCACCTGCTCTCAGGTGTGTTATACATAAATAAAAACAAATCTTTTTTTTAAGGAAAAGATGCATGAAAACCTTCGTTTGTCCCTAACCTGCCCAAATGTTTGCAAAAATTATGTAAATATTAATTGGGTTATTGGTACTAGAGTACACCAATGCTGAGCTCACCGAGCCCAAAGAAGTGATGGAAAAAAATAGGTGCGTGTTCCAGGAAATCCAAGCACCGAGGAGCCTCTGTGATTGGGGTGGAGCGTGTCCAAGTGAGGTCTGATATAATTTTCAGAGATATTTTTCTTATGAGCAAAGACAGTACTGTGAAGATTGACAGGGGCCGTGTGAGTTAGAGCATTCAAGGGCCCAGGCTTCAGTCTGAGGGTTTTTTTTTTTTTTTTTATTGGATCTAAAAGAAGGAGGGGTTGGCTACTAAAGGATGTAGTTTGGGTGGGTCCCTATTTTGACTGACAGATTAGGTCATCTATTCATTTTCTCACTGTGGTATCCCATCCCATAATGCATCTGACTTTAGTCATATCATATGCACACCCAATATATATAGGCACAGAGGGTAAATAGGACATTCTCCCCGAAGTTTACTAGAAGATAGCTTTGCCTTCCTTACTGCATGTGCACCCCCAAACCAGTCCAAGCTGGACCAGCCCTTCTAATCGTCACACTTTAGCATGCTGGGCATATGTTCGGACATGGACTGAATCTGACTGCTGCCAGGAACAGCTTACCCTTTTGTTCAGAGAAGGGAGAACAGAGTGTGCAGCCTGGTGCAGGTGAGGCTCCAAGGGGGTCCTTGGGTAGCCGGGGGCATCATTTGGAGAGTGGTTTGCACACACAGTACATGCAGGAGAAGGCACTAGGCTGCTGAGCTCATTATTAAAGGTGGATGTGTACACCCCTAAACCAAATGGGGAGCCCTAAACTAAACTCTCCTACACTTGGCTGCCTGGCGGGCAGAGGGCAGCTGTGGGAAGCAGAGATAGGCTGTCTGTCGAAGGGTTAGTATCTGCAGGAGGTGTTCACACGTCAAGTCTGTCTTGAGAACCTGAAGCCACCCCTAAGCAAACTAGTCTGAAGACATTTCCAGGTAAAACAAGCCACAGCTTTGTCTTTAAAATTAGAATAGAACTTTATTTGTGGAATTGAGATTTTGAAAATGATTTTATAGTTTATGCAATAAATTTTGATACATTAATCTGGATATACATTTACCATATAAGAAAGAATTTAAAAACAATGTCAAATAGCTTATCATCAAAACCAATTGTGTTTAACTTGATATTAGGAATAACTTGGGCGTTATAAATAAAAAGCTAAAACAATTATCATTGGGTTTGCATCTGTAATGCAATTTTGTGTTTCATTTGTTGGGGGGAGGAGAATTAGAGAAAGAGGAAGTGCTTTTTTTTCTAGAAAAGCACAAAGCCTTCATCTCGTGGTGAAAGTGACTCCACAGCCCCCCTGGCAGCAGAATGTCACAGATATTTTCATGCGAACCGGACCACCCACAAGGACAGCGGGCTGACGAAAGGGAAAGGACAGCTTGTTTTCTAAGCCCTGCTGTGGATGACTTCTCAGAGGTGGTACCGAATGACCATGCACAATTCTATTTCACACAAAGTTTCGCCCTTAGTTCCATACAATGGGGAGATTCCAGATAAGACACCAGCCCATGTTAGTGTTACTTTGTACTGTAGAGGAAGCGAACTCTGATGCTACAGTCCATACATGAATCCATATCTATGCCAGCACACTGGGGATCAGCAGGATTCTTCATCCTCACGTATCTAAATCACTCTATTTTCGGGTGAGCATACTCACTGGGAGGAGAGCAGCTTGGGTGCCCGACTCAGACACTGGTGGTTGGCAGGAAAGCCTGGCCTTTCAGCATTCCAGAACTTACTATAGCCTCAAAAGACAAAAGGGCAGGCATAGCTATTCATAGCTGACAGAGGAAGAGACTGGAGCCGGCAGTGCAGCTTCACAGATGGCCAATAATAAAATCAAGACTGCACAGGCGGTCGTGCCCGGCGACTCAGGAAAGACACTTGGAAAGCGTGCTCTGGCCTGGGGTTACTTTCCCTGACCCACGTGATGATGTGGCCTATGGAACTGTTTTTGCTACTCTTACTGAAATCTCTTCCACGGGCTGACAGGCACTAGTCTTGTCAGAGCCAAGAAGCTAGAACCAATGGCCTCATACACTTCTGACGGCTCCCACAGGGCATTTATGTGTAGCTCAGAACGTTTATAACATGTGCTTACATTAATTTATACAAACCACATTGAAAAGCAGGTTTAGTTTTTTTCATAGGTATATCTATATATATAATGGGCATTTTCTGTATAACCACACCAATGTAAGGATGAATAAAAGGAGTCTTGGCACACATGCTCTCTGCAGGTGGAGTGGGACCTCGCTTCCCTTTCCTTCTGCCTTGGTCTGCTCACCCTTCCTTTCCACTGTTTATTAAGTCATCGACAGAGCTCTAGCTTCCTTGGATGAAGACGGAACTGGATTTCACTGCTGACAATTTTACCCCAGGAACTGGTACAGAGCTGGCACTGTCTGCATGTGCCGATTCATGCATGGATCTCTTCCTAGACTTATTTCCATGTGGTTTCGGTGGGATTCCACCTGTAGCATCGGCCTCAAGGGTTTTTGACTTATAATAAAACATAATTTTCATAGTAAACAGTATTTTTTAGAAAGCATAAGAAACCTGGTAACAAATTTATACAAATTATGCACTGAACTACTCTTTGGTTATTTTAAACAAATTTTTTTATACTAATGTGGTACTAAAAATATAAAAATGCAACTACAGAAATTCGCTTAATCTGTAAACATAATGAACTCCGTAAACACGTATGTACTACGTGACTGCAAGCGTGAAGAGTGGCTGGTAAGGGCAAGTCATACACGTAACTTGGTTCTTCACGGCATGCTTAGAAACACTGCTTTGTGGAGCTTGTTTTGTTTGAAGGAATTCTACACACACTAACACATAGTAACTGTAGCCTGTGATAAGCCTTGAGGATGCACAGGCGAGAGGGAGGCCTAACACTCTCTACACATTGCAAATAAAAGCTTGCTCCACTCGTCTTCCGAGTTGCTGGACTCAAGCTGCATGCTAACAAACGTGAAATACATCCCGAGTGAAGGGAACTTTTTTTTTCTTTTTTCTTTTTTTCTTTTTTCTTTTTTTGCAAGTGACTCAAGTGACTAAAAACATAGGTGACACATTTTCCAAAGTTGTTCCAAAGATCTAGGCAAAAAGGTTCACTAGGCAAGTTCTACAGAATACGGAGCGACAGAGAGGCAGGACTAGGACTGTCGCGTTTACTCAATAGTAAAGACTTTCTTTGTCCAAATTTCATCTCAAAAAAGCATCAAATTTTCCCCACCAGATACTCATTACAGATATTTCACAGTTGGAATCTCAGTAGTTTCAGAAAGATGTGCCTAGCAAGATGAGATACGGTCAGCATTCAGGCACTCAGGACTCAAACGCCCTGTCGTGTGAACCCCAACGACAGGACGAAGTAACGGGACAAATGAACACTTCAGGATGGTGGTGGCTGAAACCATGGATAAATCGCCCTCTGGTCTCCCTGGGAAGAGCCAATGACTATCTTTTAGAAGTACTCTGGAAAATGTTAAGATGCAATTTTGATTTTGCTTAAAAGCTGTGGTGTTTAAGACGCCACAGCTTGTTCCTTTGTAATCTAATCGACCCCATCAAAGCCCTGAGTGTTTTCAATCGCCATCTGAAGTTTATCCCAGAGTTCTTCAAATGATTCATAGGGTGGCAGGTCCAGGCGATTAAAGCTGAAAGGACAGAGGATCAGGTTAGGACTGACAGTGATGCAGGAGACGTTACCATGGTAACCACAGTACCATTTGTGACTTGTGTCACTAGAGGTCACAACAGGCAGGGAGGTCACTGGACCTCCTGTGCAGTCTTATCCACACACCCCACCCCTCCAGGTGAGTGGGTTCTTTGACTGTGTTAGCCTCCAAGATGCAGTGTTCTAGCATGTTTTGGGGTAGGCCATCATGGAAAGTGAGCAATATATACAGTCAACAGTTCAGTTGGGTTTCTGGGTTTGTGTTTGTCTCTTCCTCTCTTCTAAGGCTGGCACACACCCATGCCAAGAGGGCATGGCAGGGGCTGCTCCTAGGCCAGCAGGGAGGGGAACCCTGCCCTCAAGGGTGAAACAGCTACTCACCAGGTATGCGCTCTTGGCAGCTTATCAGGGGTGCCCCACTGTTCGACTGTGAAGGACTGTGGTCCATTCGAGCCTACGGGAAGCAAGAGATTCTGTGGTTTAATGTATTTACCCACAAGACCCAAAACACTGCAAAACACACTTTTGCACACACAGAAGCCTGCTCTGTGCTTAGATTCACTGGTGACTCCTAAAACAAACTGCCTGTCATTTTACCTGTGAGTGCCATGCCCCTCTGTCCACCACGGCACACTTGGTGGCACACCTGGCCATTTGCTAACCCTGACCCAGCTGCATCTCCAATTAGGATTTTCTTCACAGGTACACAGAGGAAGTGAGGACTCTCTTTCTGCTTCTGATTCCTATGGAAAAGTTTTTTTTTTCCTTTTCCCTTTTCTGATTACATAACATCACTGTAAAACTTGAAAAAAACAATAAAATGGATCTGAAGAATATAAATCATTCATATCCTAGTTCATAAGTTTGAAGAGGGCTTTTTGGCTGTTTTTTTTTTTTTTGACAGGGTTTCTTCGTAGCTTTGGAGCACGTCCTGGAACTAGGTCTTGTAGACCAGGTTGGCCTTGAACTCACAGGGATCCTTCTGCCTCTGCCTCCCGGGTGCTAGGATTAAAGGCGTGCACCACCACCCTTCTGGGTGGTTGATTTTCTTTTGTTGTTTTCCAGTATTGAACTTAGGCCTCACACATGCCATAAAAGCACTTGACTACTTAGCTACAGTCTCAGTCTTGAGCTTTAAAACACTTTAAATTGTATTTACTCATTATCATACACGTGCTAAGTAATGTGCGTATATGGAGGTCAGGGAACAGCTGTGGGAATTCTCTCTGTACCCTCGGCAATTCTGGGGACTGAACTGAGGCCATCTAGGCTTGCTGGCCAGTGCTTTGACTGCAATTCCAGGAGCCCTGATTTTTTGTCTGTCTGTTGGTCTCACTCTTAGTCCAGGCTGGGCTTGGACACATAATCCAGCTGAGGCTGGTTTTAAACGTCTGTCAATCCTTGTGCTTTGGATTCCCGAGTAATGGGATTACACGTGTAAGCCCACACACCCGATTCAGGAATATTTCTGAGTGTGTGCACACTCATATAGAGCCGTGGTCCTCAAACTTCCCAGTGCTGCAACCCTTTAATACAGTTCTTCATGCTGTGGTGACCCTCCAGCCATAAAATTACTTTGTTGCTTCTTTATAACTGTAATTTTGCTACTGCTGTAAATATCTGATATCCCACCCCCAAAGGAATCAAGACCCACAGGTTGAGAACCGCTGGTATAGAGCATTTTATGTACACATGATCCTGTTACATGATCTACAATTGTTCTCATTATGGACATTTTAGAAACTGCCTTTCTTTTTCTATCAGAGTTTCCACTTAGCTCTCTCCAATCCTCAGTACCCCAACCGCCAGATACTGAGGCTCACATTCTGGTCTGTGACTTTCCATTCTTCTCCTTACAGCGCACAATCACTTCCAGATGTGTGTGTGTGCAGCTGCCAGAGCAGGGAGAGAATATTTAATATTCTCAAAGTAAGTTTTCTCATAACTCTATTTCACCCACCACAACCAGATTCACAGCTTAACGTTTCAGAGCCGGGCCGGGAGAGCTCAGCAGTAAAGAGCCAGCAAAGGCCCCGAATTCGGTTACCAGCACCCACACTGGGTAGGTTCACAACCTCCTGTAGCTCTAACTCTGGGGGATCTGACACTCTCTTCTGGCCTCTATGGACACCGGGCAAACACATGATGCACAGATATACAGAAGGGAACACACCATTACACATAAAATAAAATGAAAAATTAAAAGAGAGGGAGTTGTGTGTGGTCTTCTCTGGGGCCCTGCCATGTCCCACAAGAATGAAAAACCTACTGAGAGCCTCTACCCCACAGCTCACATCAAACCACAAAAGGAAAAATAAGATTCCATGATTAAGAAAGCTTTGGAAAACCTGCCCCCACCCATTTTTAAAACAAGTTGCAGAGAAATCCTTTGAGTTCCTCTTTATCTGCAGAGAACCCCTGAAATAGCGGCTACTCTTGAGCCATGTTTGCTGCTGTCCCATGGATCTGCACATCTCACACTAATAACAAAGTAGTAACAATGAACAAAGAGAACAATGTAACAAATTAGGGTAACCAAAGGCCTGAGACTGCTATCACTGGTTTTTTTTCCATAGTCTTTGTTATTTGAGACAGGGTTTCTCTGTTTATAGCCCTGGCTGCCCTGGAACTTGTTCTGTAGAGCTGGCCTCAAACTCACAGAGATCTGCCTGCCTCTTGCTCCCCAAGTGCTGGGATTAAACGTGTGCACTATCACCTCCTTGCTGTCCCCTCGGCTCTTTATTGAAATACTTTTCAATATTTTTGAAGTGATGGCTGCAGCTGAAATAGCAGGAAGTTAATCCTTGGACAAGAGGGATAATTTAACTTTCTTATCCTCTGAGGCCACTATTCATTGCTTAGATGTCGGCTAATACTTTCTTACCCTAGAGCAGTGGTTCTCAACCTGTGGGTCAAGACTCTTTGGGGATCAAACTCCCCTTTCTCAGGGGTCACCCAAGACCATCGGAAAACACAGATGTTTACAATTCCTAACAGTAACAACACTACAGTTATGAATAGCAATGAAAGGATCACCAAAACAGGAGGAACTACAATGGGAGGTCCCATCGTTAAGAGAGTTGAAAACCACGGCCCCAGAGGCACTACTGTTTCTGGGACCAGAGAGAGAAGAGAGCTCAGTGCATGAGAATGGAAGGTAACTCAACCGATTCCCAGTTTCTCCTTCGTTATCAGATTACATGCAGCAAATTATCACTCAGGAGTTTCCATTCTCTGTGCATGCATGTTTGCACGTGTGTGCTGGAGGATACCCCAGGCGCTGCCCTGCGCCGTCCGCTTCCCTCTGGGTCCCGGTCTCTTATCCACCTGCATCTTGCCAAGCAGTCTGAACTGGCCAGGCAGCGAGCTCCAGGGGCTCTGCCTATGCCCAGGACGGATCACAAGTGTGTGCCTCCATGCCCAACTTTTTAACATTAGTTCTGGGATAGACTCAAGTGCTTGCCAGGTATGCACTTTACCAACCAAGTTGTTTTCCAAGTCGTCAACTTAAGTTTTTAAAATTAAGCAAAACATCTTGAAAATGGCGGAAGCTTGAGGACCCTACCACCCACGGAAATCTGAGAGAACCATGCAGATTCCTTACCATAGAGTTCGGCAAATCCGTTCATGGGCACACGGGATGTGCCAGTAACAAATTGAAGCAAACGAATTCTTTTTTCTGAATCCATCATTAAAACAGCCTGAAAAACAGAAGACTTCCCTTAGAGAAGCACAGAAATCAATAATCACTAGGGTTTTGTTCTTCTTATTCTCAAAAATCTTGTTTCCAAAACTTTTCTCTTAGAGCTGGAGAGATGGCTCAGTAATTAAAAATGCTTACTGCTTTTGTACACAACCAGGAATCAGTTCCCAGCATCCACATATTGGCTCACAACTGTCTGTAACTAGTTCAGGGGAATCTGATGCCTCCTTCTGACTTCTGTAGGCACTGCATACACGTGATGCACATATACTCACACAAGTACACACGCACACACCTACCTTTAACAATTACAGTTATTGGTATTACTGAATGGCTTATGTGTACGAGTTTTGTTTTGTTTTGTTTTCTGGTGGTTGAGGAGGAGGATTTTATTGTAGACATGAGGAAAAGCACAGCCAGAGACATCTGGAAGAGTCCAGAGCAGGGAGAGAAAGTAGTAGACTAAACAAGGCCAGTAGACTGAACTGGACCATCAGAGGAAGAGAAAGAAGAGGAGGGGAGAGGGAGAGAAAGGAGGACCAAGAGAGGGGTCTGAAGAGAAGGGGTGGCCAAGGACATGTAAGAGAATTTAAGGGAGCCGAGTTGAAGGTTACTACAAGCTCTTACAAGTTATTATGTAGGTGGAAAGTTAATGTTTCTATTTCGGCTCCTTTACTGAATGCTTTCCCTTCTTACCTCTGGGTAATATCTGGGAGGGTGGAGCCACACTCGAAGGGCATCACACAACATCAAAGGAACGCCTGCTTGGCTGGTGTGCTTTTCTGGGTTACCCCTGTGCCATGCACTCTGAAAGTTATTCTAGAGGTATAATTGAATCTACCGAAAAGTAGGTTTCAGATTACCTTCCAGAACCACTGGATGACCTGGTGGTTGACACTGTAGCCATTTTTGTACTTGGTGTGTTCCTTCCAGTCGCTCACATCCACATCTCCCAGACCACACATGAGAAGCTGCAGACAAGATATGCAGTCAGAACGCCGAGCAGGAAAAACCTGAGACAGCCTACCATTCATTATGTAGTTCTGGCTGTTCTGGAACTAATAATACAGATCAGACTGGCCTCAAACTCAAGAGATCTTCCTGCCTCCCCTTTTAAGCGTTGGGATTAAAGGTGTGCACCACTACGCCCAGCCAAAACTCTAGTTCAACATAAAATATTTCTCTTTCCTAAGCTTTATTCCATCTATTTACTTAGCTGGTTATGTGGGTGTGGCACGTGTGTGCCATGTCATGAGTGTAGCTGGCGGGAGTCGGTCTCCCTCCAGGCTCCAGGCTTGGCGGTAAATGCTTTTCTCACTGAGCCATCTTGTTGACCCTTCAGTTCTCTTTTTAAAGACAGGGTCGTCTGTAGTCCCAGGTTAGCTTCAAACTTACAACGTAGCCGAGGATAATAATGAACTATTGATCTTGATTCCAACTCTCAAGAACTGGCTAATAGGTGCGCATACCTGCTTCAGCTGTGCTGAGGACGGACCCAGGGTCTCAAGCATGCTCAGCAGCACACTCCTTCCTCCCCACCTCCTCTCCATAAGCTCTACCACTCCACCAGCGGAGCTGTATCCTCTTGCCCTTTTCTCATCCCCACCCCCACCCTGTGGTGCTGAGGACTGAACTCAGGGCCTGGAGTTCTTGCCACTGAACTACATTCCTAGCCACACAGAGAAATATTTCTTACCTCTAGTTCATTTTCATCGAATATCTTGATGAGATCCTGTGGAATCAGTTCAAAGAATCCCTAGAAGGAAAGGAAAGTGTGGAACCAGTTAGCAGGCTTGGCTCCTGCGCCTGAGCATCTTGAAGCATGGGCACACTCTCCGGTCTACAGATGTCACTACACATTCACGAGTCGTTCACCGTGGTCCCAATGTGAGAAAATGGACAGACCACTCTGCTCTCTCTCTTTATGTCTCAAAGTGGCTGCATTAAAACGTTCTATTACTTCTCAAGCCCGCATCATTCCTTCTTCACAGTACTGAGAAGGAAGACTGAGACAGAGCAAAGCCCAAGCCCCATCCTGGACACGCCCACTGCAGAGAAGGGGGGAAGGATGCCTCTGTAGACCTCAACACCTTCTGCTTTCTCAGTTCCCTTCTCCTAACTACTCTCCACCCACTGAAGTCTGTCCAAGCCACACTGGCCTGTGGTGGCCTGTGGCATGCCTTTAATCTCAGCACTTGGGAGGCAGAGGCAGGTGAAGCTCTGCAAGTTCGAGACCAGCCTGATCTACAGAGTGAGTTCCAGGACAGGCTCCAAAGCTACAGAGAAAGTCTGTCTCAAAAAACCACCACCACCACCAAACAAACAAACATAAAACAAAACAAAAACCCCACCTCTCTCTTCTTCCTTTCACAGTCAAGTACATATAGTATGTAAAGTTCATACCCCAACTGTCCCTCCACTACACTGCTATCTGCATGGCTGCAGATTGAACCAAGGTCAGCTTTGTAGCAGTTTAATAAACACTTTGTATTTCTATCCTGACTGATTTTGTCTGCTCCTAAAATATAACAATTGTGTGAGCATGTCTACATAAATGTATGTGCACACTATTTTAAAAACATAACGGGGGGTTTTGAGGGGTGGCCTGTTTCTACCTAACAAGGCTGGAATTACAGGTGGGCTGCTGCACACACACAGCGTTTACACGGGTTCTGGCATCAGAACTCTGGCCCTCACACTTCAATGTCAGGCACTTTGATGGCGCGGCACCTCCCCAGCCTCCTCAGTGTTCCATGGCTCGGCATCTCCTCAGTCTTCTCGGTGTTTGTTGCTCAGAATGATTGTATTTTAACCATTTTTCTACCCCAGCAATATTTTGTTAATTTAAATATATGCTTCAGGGGGCTGGAAGGATGGCTCAGTGGTCAGAGTACACACTGTTCTTGCAGCGGGCCTTGAGTTTGGCTCCTAGCATCATGTCGGGCATCTCACAGCTGCTGCAGCTCTAGCTCAGGGGAATCTTTACTGGTCTGCACACGCATGCACGTGCACATTATTTTAAAAACATAAAATTAAACTAACACATAACTGTAAAAACATACTGAGAATGGCTTTACAGAGCCCACCACATCTTATCTGTCTCAGACACAAGGAGGCCCAAGGCTTGAAAGTTATGGGCAGGCAAGTGGAAGACCATGCGTACCTCTTTAAAAGCAGCCATTTGCTTCTGGATTCGGTTCACAAATCGCCACTGTATTACAAGGCTAAAAGAGAAAAAAAAAAACATTTTTTCTCCACGCACAAACAAAGAAACAATTTTAAGACATTTTTATTTCAGTTTGGAGCAGACAGACCAGCTGGGACTATGGCAAAAGCTGAAAAGAAACAGGGAGGGCCGAGGTATACTTTTCCTAAGAAAATTGAGATTCTGGCCATGAGGAACAAGGAACAAATTAAGGAAAATCTCAAAACAAACAAACAAACAAAAACAAAACCAAAGCAGCACAGAACTGTTGTAGGAAATAAAGTACTCACTAAATGTACTCCTTCTTGTTCTTATTGGTGACGACAATCTCTGTTCCGCCAGTTTTCAGTTCATGTTGATGTGTCTAAATTAAACAGGATATATTGTTTTAGTGAGGAAAATGAAAAAAAAAGTATATGTGAATGATACCAGAAGGCTGGCACTTTAATTTAAATTTATTCAAAAGGTAAAAACTAAGAAAACTTAAATATTAGTCCTACTAAAATAAATACAGAATGAGTCAAACGTCAAGGCAAGCACAGATGCCGGCTGAGCAGCCTCTGTGTCCAGAGCAAACAGAAAGCAGAGCGCAGAAACGTCTTGGTGTGCAATGGCGCCTACACTTAGGGGCCAGCGCCGGCTTTGCAAATGATGTGCTAGCTGAGAGCCTACAGACCTGTCCGAAAAGCTCTTCATCTATGATAAATCTGAGGTCCAGCTCCGTCGGGTCATTTTCAAGAATCCATCGCAGTGAACTGTAATATTCACTGTCCTAGAAGGAAAATGACATTTTAATTCATTAATTTTGCAGTGCTGGGAATTGAACTCAGGACCTTGTACATGCTAGGCAAGAGCTCTACCATAGAGTTACATGTAAAAATTGTACTTTGAAAAAAAAAAATCTGTATACAGAAAGTTACTTGAACATGGCAGTCAGTAAAGTGCTTGTTTCACAGGCTTGAGGAACTGAGTTTGGGCCCCTGGCACCCATATGAAAAGCTGGGCACAGGGCATAGACCCGAGATACCAGCCTAGGGAGGCAGAGACAGGGGGGTCCCAAGAGCTCAATGGTCAGCTGGCCTGGCCAATCAGTGAGCTAGAGGTTCAGTGAGTGCCCCTCTCTAAACAAATAAGGTGGAGAAAAATGGAAAAAGACACTGACATTGGCCTCTGCCCTCAAGAAGTGCACACCATATGCAAACACACACACACACACACACACACACACACACACACACACGCCAGTGAGCACGCAAACATGCACACACTACACCAAGGATCTAGCTAGTTGGGGAAAAGATAAAGTGCTGCTTGCACATCTTTTCCACTCATATCTAAGCACAGATCAAGGGACGGATGGAGCTAAGCTGCACAAGAGAAAACAATGCCAGCTACTGACACGGTGCCCACTTCTCTGTGTGCAACCAGCAGTTGTAGAGATTTTATTGTCTAATCATAGGGGTAAGTAAAACATCTTCCAAAGAAATCTAATTTTCCTGGATTTCCAGACACCTCCTTCCTAGGACTGTGAGACTATATTTGAAATGTCTGAGTTCACTACTGGCTCACGCTAAAGGAAAGTTTTGAATTAAATATAAAATCTTAAGCATCCCACACAATAGCTATATGCTCTTACGATTCCAAAGAATCGTGTTGGGGCTGGGGCTCAGGTGGTGGAGTATGTGCTAGCATGTGCAAAGTCCTGAACTTGATCCCTAGAAAAGCATAAACCAGGTGTGGTGGCACACACCGTAATCCCAGCACCCAGAAGACAGAGGCAGGAGCCTCAGAAGTCACCCCTGGCTGGGTACATACTGAGTTTGAGGCCAGCCTATGCTCCACAAGGCACCGTCTCAAACAACAAAAAACACAACAAAGAATCAGCTGGGACCTGGAAAGGTGGTTCAGCAGCTAAGAGCTCTAGCTACTCTTGCAGAGGCCTGAGGTTTGATCTCCAGCATCTACACTGCAGCCCACAACCATCTGTTACTCCAGTTTCAGGAGACCCAACATCCTTTTCTGGCCACTGAGGTCACCAGGCATGCACATAGCACACATACATACATGCAGGCAAAACACTCATATGCATAAAGGAGTAATAATGGACACAGTGCTAAAGAGCTGATATTGGAGCTCATGTGTACCCACATGCACGGGGCCACCAGCAGCAGAGACAAGACTCAATCCTTCAGCTTCTGATTTTTAGATCCCACTACAACACCCTGCCTTTGGACTGCCAGCTTTAAACATTTGCCATTCATCACAAATAATTATAACTCAAAATCTGATGTAAAAGATATATAACTACTGTAAGGCATAAAGAACTAGTGAAGGTCTGGCAAGATGCCTCAGTGGGTACAGACAACTGTTTCCAAGCAGGACTTGACTTCAATTGCTGGGGCCCACAACAGAACGAGCAAACTCTCCTTTGACCTACACAGGTATCCCATGGTACAAGCAATGCTCCCCTCCCCAAATAAATAAATTAATACAAATAAATTTAAAAATTTAGCAGCAAGTCGGCTATGGCGCTGGCTCATTAGGTAAACCTGGTGAGCAGAATTCAATTTCTGGCATTCGCGTGATGGAAGGACAGAACTGACTCCCTTTATATGTGGAGTTTATGTTTATATAAACACACATATAAACTAAAAATATACAGATGTGAAAGATAAATATAAGCTAATTCAGCAGAAGGTGTAACTAGTATTTGCAATGCATGAGAAATCTAGGAGGTACTGATGGGCACAGGAATAACGTCAGTGTGGGGCGGACCCAGGTCTGAGCTAGGAAAAGGGGTATCGCAGAAAAGGTGGCGACTGATACGCAAGCACTCACTACAATGGTCTTCCCACTGGACTGTATGCTGGGAAATGATCATTTGCACGTTTCTGTGTGTAAATGACGGTGTATCGTGTGTGTGTGGGGGGGGGAGCAGGCACCCACTGAGCACACGTGTCCAGTGTCCTGCTCTATAATTCGCCACTTTATCCCAACGACAGAGACTCTGGCCAACCCTGGAATTGAGCTCGTGGGCAGAAATCTCAGAAATCTTCCAGCCTCTGCCTCCCACAGTGCTGAGGTTACAGATACACACACAGCCATGCTCAGCTTTCTGTGTGGAGAGAAGGCGTAAACTCAGGTCCTTGAACTTGCTTAACAAAGCCTCTTATCCACTGGGCCATCTCCTCATTCCCCATTTGCATTTTGAAACATTAAAATTTATTAATTTCTATCTTAAAAACAACTTATCTGGGCTATGTGAGTAGCTTAGTGGAACAGCACTAACTCAGCATGGGCCCTGAATCCACCCCCAGCACTGTAACAACCACCCCCCAAGCCCCAGTCCTCCAAGCCTATTAAGCCGCACATCTTCAGTGCGCGAGAGACTTACCACGGACTCCATGTCATGCAGCGTTATCAGTTTCTGAAGCATCATTTTGTAAAAGGGGCGGATGAAAAAGCCTTGTAAGAAACAAAATATATTTAAGATGATTATCAATTAAAAAACAACAAAACCCACACCAGACAAGTTTGCTACTTGATGCTAACCATCCAGCAGCTTGCCATGATAAACTGCCATCCCAGCCACACGACCGATGAACTTGAAGTACGAGAGGTGATCTTCGTTACACAAGCCCGAGTTTGGATTTATCTGGAGGGTGTAATTATCCCTGTGAAGACAAACCACATTTATGTGATCCTCTTGCTATTTCATAGAAAAAAAATTTACCTAGGCAAGTGATTATGAAAATTTCCCCTCTTATTATTTTTCTCTAATAACGGATCTAATAATGATCTTAAAAAACTCCACTTCTGTCAAAAGATGGAAATAACCCTAAAGGACAGGCAAATGAATAAGCAAAATGTATCCATTTGTATGTTCAAAAGACATGGCTTGGTATAACATGGCTGGACTCTGAAGACAGGCTGTTGTACGACAATTTCCTCTCAATTGAATTAAAATATTCCTTCTGGAAGGAGGGCAGGGATCATAAGACTCAGGAAGTGGGGCTGCAGAGATGGCTCAGCGATGAAGAGTACTTGTAGAAGACTGGGGATTGGAGGAGTCCCAGAACCCACATGGTAGCTCACAACCATCTGTTAACTCCAGTTTCAGGGATCTTACGCCCTCTTCTGTCCTGTGAGGGTACTGCATGCATGTGGTGCATAGTCACACACGCAGGCAAACACCTATACACATTAAATGAAATAAAAAAGAAAGGCCCAGGAAGTTATCAAAACTTACAAGGTCCACAAAGCCCTCTCCTGGGCTAGATAAAGCAACAACTGTGGGGACAAGAACACCGACCAACTGAGCTACCTGAAGTCATGCAGGGAGCTACAGCAGCATAGCCTTTGTGTGTCTTCACCCATGCTAGGGTAGGCTTCTGTTACCCAGCTGCCTTTGAGTCATTCCTGCTGCCAGGAGACTCCCCACCTGCTTCTGAGAGTAATCCAAATAATTTCATTGGTTTGCCAAGCTGGGTTTTGGCAGAATCCTAACTTAGTCTGTTCTTGGCCCCCTATGTGGGGTGAATAGAGTTTGCTCATGTTTCCCAAGGAAATGTCACTTTACATATGCTAAATGAAATATCGCATAATGAGGCCAAATGCTGGATGGTCCCCTGTATCTAATGTAACTATAGTAGTCAGATTCACAGAGAGCAGACTGGTGACTGCCAGGAGGTAGAGCACCAGGTGTTTAACAGGTGCAGATGTATTTCAGGAGACTGGGAAAGGCACAGAGTTCAGTGACTCAGAGTCTACTTGAAATGCCAGCCAAGTAGCCAAGTGCATGCTTACAGAGGACTGGGGTGGGAGCTCTATGGAGGAGGGTCTGCCAATCATGTGCAATCCACAGTGTACACACGCGCACGCACACACACAAAGTTAACATGGTAATTTTATGTTATATACATTTAAACACAATTGTAAAAAGTCATCTCTGACAAACCAGTTAGTCTCTCTGTGACACCGATTACTTTGCCCACACTTTATAAGATCAACCTAATTTTGGAGATTGTGATTTTCCCCAATCTTTTATACACAGTTATTTAGAGTATTTATGCCAGGTATGGTGGCACATAGCTAAAGTATTAGCTAATCAGGAGGTGAGGCAGGCTGATTGCTTAAGCTCAGGAATTCAAGGCTAGCCTGGGCAACACAATGAGACCTAATAAGGAACTTACGTAGCAGAATATTCGAACAGCCCGTAATAAGGGTTAAACATTTCCTTTGAAATGAGGAAGAACCATTCCCGAGCAACTCCTCCATAATCAAGTCCCTTTTCACCATCGAACTCAATCCAGAGTCGAGCCTTGAGGACGTCGGCTCTCTTCACACCCATAATTCTCCGGTAAGAATCCTCCAGAACATTTGCGCGGCGAAGTTTCATCTCAAATTTGTTTGGAATGTCATTCTGCAGAGCCAGGGGGAGAGAGAGAGAGAGACATGGTTTAAATCAGCCTAGTGTGCCCACCACACTCCACTCTGTGCCCACAGCCCTTTCCTTTATGTAAAACCCCAACCTCCCTGCTTCAAGAAACAGGGTCCATTCCTGTTACCCAGGTCAGCCCTGTGCTTGTTCAGGCTAGCCTAGAACTCGACACCGACTCAACAGCACCCTCCTCCTGAACTAAACGGTGTGCACCCTTACATCTAGCCTGGGTGTTTGGTCTTAAGATTTTTCTACAGGGGCAGAATGTAGGTTTTCTCTCCTAATTACTTCTGATTTTTCTGTCTTCAGAAGCTACAGCCGATGAGAATAAACCGTAGAAAGTATTTTTCCAGTAGTGCATTCCATGTTGTTATAGGTTTGGCCATACTGCCATCAACACTCCTCCTACTGCAGGCCACCCGCCTAAGGCAGCTACTCCACCCGCCAGTCCTTCCTACCGTCCTAGGCTCTGTCCTCTACACGTGATGGGCTCAATCATCCATCCTTCACAATTACACTACGATAAACTACCATCTCCATTTTAACAGGAAGGAACTGCAGACAACAGAAGTAGAAAGTCTAGCTTTTCAGCCTCTGCTCTTACTGTAGGACATCTGGCTCCTTCATCTCGTACATCCTGTGCTTCAGAGATACGTGCAGGTGACTATGCCTCAGCTCCCACTGTAAATACTGTAAGGTATCTTAGTGTTTCATCCCTGAGTGGCTTGTGTACAACTGTCAAGTGGGTACTGTTAGGAGAAACATTCTCAGTACTCTGTGAGCTCAGAGAAAGACAGACAAGCGCTTAGGCGAATACATCACCCTGCTAGTGTATTTAGGGAAAACAGAAACTTCCTACAAACAGCACACAGAAGCACCGTCCTGCTGCTCGTGCAAGTTAAACAGTGTTAGGATTGGAGAAAAGTGGTTTTTAAAGACTAAGTAGCAGGGGCCTGGAGAGATGGCTTAGTGGTTAAAAGCCAGGGAACTGGTGTAAGTAAGTACCCTGTTCTGGGACAGTTCCCATAGGTGGGCTGGGGTGTCAGATGTACTTCCTCAGGACTGTCAGTATTATGTGGGTGTAATACGGTCAAGTTCAAACTTACAGGAGCTGCCCAAGAACTGCTATCTGTGGGATGAGGGAGAATAAGCTCTTGACGTGGGTTCCAGGCCGGACTATTTCAAAACACCAGCGGCTTATTTATTTATATTTAGTTTTGCAGTATTGTGTGGATGTATGTGCAGCTCAAAGTCAATATTCAATGTCTTCCTTATTACGGTCCACCTTATTTGTTTGTGCTTTTCCTTTTAAGACACATTCTTACTATGTAGCTCTGGCTGGCCCGGAATTCTCTATCTAGACCAGACGGGCTTCAAAATCACAGAGATCTGCCTGTTTCTGCCTCCTAAGTCCTAGGATTAAAGACGTGCACCACCAGGCCAAGTTCCCATCTTTTAAGGATATTTTGGGGTTTTTTGAGATACGGATTCTCTGTATAGCTCTATCCTAGAACCCTCTATGAAGACCAGGCTAGCCTTGAACTCAAGAGATCCGCCTGCCATTGCCTCCTGAGTGCCCAGCAAGCACTTTAACAAAAGGACTATATACCCATCTTTCCTGTCAAATGCTTTAAAATCAGAACACCTAAAGCACAAAACGATTTTTAAAATAATTTAGACACAAAGTTATTGTTTAAGTATATCACGAAAGTTCTAGATTAAAAGTCCTTTTCTATTTTAAAAATTCTATTGGAAAACATAATATTTACACTAAAAATTTTTGTTAAATTTGTGAAAAACTCTGGTATCCAACCCACCATTTTGAATCACTTGAGGTCACCAGCTTGGAACCTTAGAAAGTACAACCCAACACTGCCACCTAGTGGCCATGCTCCTGAACTGCAGGGAAAGGAAGCAGGGACCAGCACATGAGGAAAGGATTTAAAATGTTACATCAAAGGATGGGCAGATGGGTTAAATTGTAAACATAATTGAAGTCTGGTAATGGAAAAAAAAGTGTACTGAAGGTATCTGACAAACATAAGGAAATAAGAAGCAACATCACCATCTGCACCTCTGCTCACTGTTAATTTTTATCCACCCCGGGGGATCTGATGCCTCAGGTCACCTCACAATTAAAAATTTCATTTTTGTGTTTTGTTTTTCTGAGACAAAGTCTCACTATGTATACTTAGCTGCCCTGGAACTCTCTCTATAGACAAGGCTGGCCTTGAATTCAGAGATCTGCCCGCTTCTGCTTCCTGAGTGCTGGGATTAAAGACTCTGCACCACCATACCCAGTCTTTAAAATCTTTAAAAATCATGAGACTATGACTTGAGAAATGGCTCAACAGTTAAGAGCACTCACTCACTGTTTCTCCAGAGGACCCAGTTCAATTCCCAGCACCTACACAGTAGCTCACAACTGTCTATAACTCCAAGATCTGATACCTTCATACAGACATACAAGCAAGAAAAACACCAAAGCACATAAATTTAAAAAAAAAGAATAGGCACCAGATCAGACACATATGTGGCGTGCATGCATGTATATAGGCAAAACACTCATAGACAGAATAAATCAATCTTCAAAAAAAGGATTTAAAACTTCTCTAAAACACATACACCTCCTTTCCCTATGAGAAAGTGACTACTCAGTCCTCAAACATAGCAACTGTATCTGTGACTGCTCTCCCCGCTTAGAGAACAGCAACAGTATCTGCCGCCCAGCCCCCCCCCCCCCCCAGAGAACAGCATGGTATCTGTGACTGCGCACCATACTTCTCCCCTCATCCCCGCCTCCTTAGAGAAAGACGAGCACCATAAGGGCCCCTCTCCTCCCCCAGAAGGTGGCTCCCTCTCCTCCCTCAGAACACCCCAAGTGGCAGTTACAGGGTCACTAACCTGCTTCTTCAGCTTTCTTCGGAAGAACTCGTACTTCCTTTTGTAATCCCTGGAGTAGGGCACTGCCTTTAGTTGAAACATTTGGAAAAACAAAGTTTAGATTGGTTTTATTCTGGAACAGTGTTATTAGCTCCCTCTGGATAATTTATGAATATATACAAAGAAAGAATTATTTGGAAATTAAAGTTTCATTTGAAGAAAAGCTAACAGAAGGCTTATTATCATTTTAAATTCTCTTTAAGATAAAGCTGCAGTCAGCAGTCATTGTGGCTGCAATTTTCTTCATGTTTTTGTTTTTTTTTTTTTTTTTTTAAAGAAAGAATCACTCTATGTATCAATGGCTGGCCTCAAACTCTCTATGTAGACCAGGTTGGTCTCGGCTTGGAGATCCACCTGCCTCTGCCTCCCAAGTGCTGAGATTAAGGGCATGCGCCACCATTTCTAGCTCAAACAATATTCTTAAAATGCGACATGCCAGAGGCATGAGAGGTAGAGAAAATTTAGAAATAAAAATTTCTACTTCTGAAAAGGCTTTGAAAGTGCTTTCTCCATTAAAGGAACCAATTGGAAATTGGTTTTCCCTTGGACTTCCTTGGACTTCAATTTTGTGAATTGACAAAGTCTGAAGGACAAAAATGGAAAAAGTAGCTGTAGAAGAGAGTGATTTTTCTATAGTTAACCCGATTCAAGGGCAGTATAACTATGGTACAGTGTAATATTTCTATAAAATATGAGTAAGGTTTAAATAGTGGCTCTTTGAATGACTGACTAAAAACCATTCATTCTGACTCTGGCTGCCCTTCTGCGGTTTGCACTGTTTTAGATGGACAGATGTCAGCCTAGGCTGAGCAGCTTACTGCCATAGATTCTGATTGTATCTCACTGCCCAAGCTTGTGGTGTGCAGTAAGACGGCAAAGAGCAGGCACAGTGAGGAGGGAGAGGAGGCCTGCAGAGGCTGTTCTTTGAGTTCCACCTTTGACCTAGAGCACCGGGACGCGGGGGACTTACTGGTCCAGTTGTTGCCACGTTCTGGGTCCGAGGATCTTCCCACTGTGTCTTTTTTGTATCTAGGAGGGAAAAGAGAAAAGATGTTCCTCTTCCTCGTGTCTACAACCGAGCACTACAAGAACTGCAATAGAGAATTCACGAGGTACGTACTGTGGTTTATAAAGAAGACTCGTCCGTCTGTGTGGGTTCTCTCTTCCCATCCTGGCTGTAATGAAACATTTGTTGCAATTATTTTATTTTAGCACCAGACCTTAGATGTACAGGTTATTAAAAAAAAAAAAACCAGAAAAGAACCCCCCAATACAAACAAAAAAATCCCCCAAAACTACCATTAGTTATATGCTTAATTTTCACATTTTTAGCAGAAAGAATCAATAGTTTAATAATAATGTTAGTTATAGTTAAATAACTCCTATATTTGAAGGTACCAAGTATCTGAGTTAGTCAGGTTAGCTCAGCAAGAACTTACAGGTAAAGGTCCCAGGTCATTGGATGAGTCGACTGGAGTCTTTGCTTTCAGATGAGCAGGGATTTTCGATCTTGGATCATCCTTTATTTGGTTAAGTCACAAATAAAACAACACACATACTTTAAAATAATGACAGCTATTGTGCTATAATTGCTTTGTAAAGTTGACAGATATTTAAAATACTCTCTTTGGAGTGAGAGGCAGCTCAGTGGGTAAAGCATTTGAAAAGAAAGAGTGAGGAACGCAGTTTGGATCCCCTTAACCCACATAGATGTCAGGACAGCAGCATGGCCTGTTGTAATTCTAGCCTTGGATGGAGGAGTCGGGATCCCCATGGCAAGCTTGCTGGGCAGACCAGTGGCACAGACGAGCTGTGGGCTTGAGTGAGAGAGCCTGCCTCACCTAATTATAGAAGAACAACGAAGGACGATTTCTGGCATCAGCCTCAGGCCTCCACATGCACATGCAAACACACACATACAGACACACACACACACACACACATTCTTTCTCACACACACATGCACACAGGCAGCAAGTACATGTGTGGACGCAAACACACACACACACAAAAAATGCACGCACACACACATATACGTGAAAATGGAAAAATAATGAAGTATTATGTTATATGTTTTTGGCTTTTTGAGACAGAACTCAAACAGCCCAGACCGGCACTGGAGTTTCCCGAGTGCTAGGATTACAGGCACGTGCCACCTCACCCACTTAGCCTTAACTCCTCTTCCTCCTAGCAGAGAACGCGGTGAGGTCGTCCTATTGAGAGGTAGATAGGTCACTTCCCAGCGGATCAGCACTGATGTCTTGCACTGAGACCACTTCACCCCAACCGAGAACCCACCATTCAGTCTGTTGAAACCTGAACTCCATCAAGTTTTTCTCATATAGAAACCGGTGTAACTGAACCACATCTGGCTGGTGAGAGGGTTCAGTGGGCCTGACTACTGTGTTCAATACTCTACAAGTCACCCTCTGACCTCCACACACATACATGTACACATACAGGATAGAGAAATGTATGGGTGTAATCAAACAAAGGAATGAATAAGTAAATAGGACCATATGTTGTCTTATTTGTTTGGGTACTGGTTGTTTTTTTTTTTTTTTTGAAAGATCAGAGGGTAGCCTAAAAAAAAGTAACTAAGATCAACTCACATCTTAAAGAAGAGAACAAAATTCAATTTACTAGGATTAACTAATTAATATATCAATGTTATTATATTAATCAAGCTCTTTTAAATTCATTTAAGCTTTGTTGACCTTTTGAAATATTTACTAAGTCTCAAGTATTATGTTTGGAGAACTTTGTGTTAGTGATGAGCTAAATACCAAACAATTTTAAGGCTTAAACTAAACTGAGCAGGGCTCCGAATTAAAAGCACTGGCTGTTCCTTCAGAGGACCACGGTTTGGCTCCCAGTACCCATGTGGTGGCCCACAACCATCTGTAACTCTGATTCCAAGGAATCTGACACTCTTTTCTGGCTTCCATGGGAACACAAGCATATATGTAGGCAGTCATACATAAAATAATGTAACTAAATTCTAACACCAACGACAACAACAAATATCTGTCCTTCATAGAGTCTTTCTGAAAATATTAATAAATGAGATAGAAACTTGAAAGTGCTTTGAAAATAGAAAATATAAAGGTAAAAAACTATTACTAAAAAAATTTTTCTAAGCCTTTATGACTAGTGAGCCAGAAACTAGAAACAGAAAATTAATATGAACACCTTCATAAAATCTAATATAATCTCAAAAAGAAGCATAAGTGTACTTGAGCACAAATAATATTATTAAGGCTGCCCGGAGCTGTGGGTATGGCTCAGTTGGAGAGCACTCACCTATGTACACAAAGCCCTGGCTTCTATTCCCAGCAGAATGGAATTCCCAAAGAGACTCATGTGTGGGACTTCGAGGTGGAGGCAGGAAGATCAGGAATGCAAGTTCAGGGTCAGTAACACAGCAAGTTCAACTTCTAGGGCAGCCTTGACTACATAAGGCCCTACCTCAAACAAAAATACAAACCCAACCAAGACTTTTACACGTAACTCATGGACTATTAGGAAAGCAGACTACACTAACACAAGTGATAGATGCAGAAGCAACTCTTACTATAAATGTAATCTGAGGCACGCGGAAGTTACCCAGGTGGTGGTTTTGGTGTTGTGGTCAATAAAGAAAGGCCTCCCATTTGGTGCATGCCAGACTTCCCAACCTTTAGGAAGGAATCCTTGCCCAGTGTCAGACGGTGAACTCGCCTGCTGAGCTGGGTCACTGGGGGGGAGCTGTGGCAGAAAGCCTGCGGAACTCTGGCTCCATGGCAGCTGACTGGTCTCCACTGTGGCCTGCCACATTAATTAAGTCATACTGTAAAACTATAGAGAACTCACAAATAAAGAATATAATTAAAATAGCTAGTTTAACCTGTGAAGAGAAGGCACACTTGCAAACCAGTCCTAAACATATGAGACTAACTCTTAAAGACATTTCTATTATGCGGAGGGTGTGTGTGTATGAGTGCAGAGAGGCTAGAGGTGTCGGATTCCCTCGCTGGAGTTACCGACGGTGGCGAGGTCCTGATGCGGGTGCTGGAAGTGAACTTGAGTCCTCTGAAGAGCAGCAAGTGCTCTGAAATCACCAAGCCATCTCTCCAGGCCCAAATCACCGACATTTTAATTTTTTCCCCTGAATTTTAAATAAACTTTTCTAGAAAACTGTTTCTTATAATAATTTAGCCAACTAATTTATAATAATTTTCTCAGCTAATTAACACACAGTAAAATGACTGCCCCAGGAGCTACAGCTGCTAGCCTGTGCAGCAGAGCCGCAGGAGGGCACAGAGCAGACAGTGAGCATCGCCCGCGAAGACTCACAGTGGGAACACCCCAGCACAGGAGCGGCCCTTCTGCGTGGGCAAAGCTGCTTGCTGCCAAGCCTGAGGACCTGAGTTTGATTTCTGAGAACCCACATGGCAGAAGGAGATGGTCAAGTCCTTTAAGTAGTTCTCTCTCTCTCTCTCTCTCTCTCTCTCTCTCTCTCTCTCTCTCACACACACACACACACACACCCTGTGGTGTCCACCTTCCATAAAAAAGAAAAAAATTCAGTGAAAGAAACGGTAATAAGATAGAATAAACGTATTATCAGTCTGCTACATGGAAGAGGTCACAATTATAAACTTTTTTAAAAAGTTTATTTTTTTTTATGTGTGTTTTGCTTGCATTAATGGCTATGCACCAAGTGCAGGTAGTGTCCATGGAGGTGGGAAAAAGGCATCAAGTCCCTAGAACTAGAGTTACGGATGGTTGTGAGCCACCATGTAGGTGCTGGGTACTGAACCTGTGCTCTGAACCACTGAGTCAATTCCCCAGTCCATAATTACAAATTTCACAGACACCCATCAGCAAGAGCACCCATTAACAAACTGTCTGAACAAGGGCTCAGGGAGACGGCTCCGTGGATAAGGTGTTTGCCATGGCTGTGAAGACAGAGTTCAGATCCACAGCACACAAAGGTGGCCAGCTTATGGTCCCTGAGATGTCTGAGAGATGGAGGCCAGATCCCAGAAAAAACTCCAAATTCAGCAAAAGAGCCTGACTCAGTAAATAAAATGGAGCAACTGAGGAGCAGACATGGTGTCCTTTATGCTTCCACACACACGTGCACTCTCAAACAAATTCACACACACACACGCACGCACGCACACACATGCACGCACACACATGCGCACGCGCCAAAATGAAACAGCACAGTCAATGAAAGTAATAATCATCCAATGTAGATCATGATTTTGTTCTCCTAGCCCTGATTAGATTTGCTTCATGTAATAACACACACTGGAGTCCACAGGAGACGGCAGAACAAACAGCAAACACCACGTGTGCAGCCCAGCTCACCCGGAAGCTGTAGGAAGACAAGCTATCAGTGCAGAGTACCTGCATGGTGGGCTTGGCCCACGTGGTTGTTCTAGAATTGTGGTCTACATAGTATGACCGTCCTCTTTCATCTTGTTTTTCTTCCCAACCTGGCGGCAATCCAGATGAAGTAGGCAAAAGCTAACGCATAACAGAAAAACTCCATGTTAACCGGGGAGAGCTCCTGACGGAAGCTCGGGGCCTTTCTTCACAGCCAGTGCTCTAAAATGACCCATAATTTATTTTGAACTAAAACCACTCATCACAACAGAAAATGGGCAGATGATACATTGTAAATTTAGAACAAAGAACTTCATTTTAAGTCATCTTTTAAAATATATACAGAGCAGTAATTCATTTGGAAAGAAAGAAAACAGACAATGAGCATGATAAGACATGTCAGCACCAGAAGCCGTATACTTAGGGACACACGCATGCGTGCACACACACACACACACTGAGGAGATTATTGCTAACACTGGTCACTCTGCAGATGGTAAAGTGAGACTTTGGAAATGACTCCTAGGTCACTGCTTCTAAGAGAAGCAGCTGATGTCTGAACTGAATCACACTACCCCAGAAACCACATTTAAGTACAGAGGCAGGGATCTCAATGAGTCTGAGGCCAGTCCAACCTACCAAGTGAGTTCCAGGCAAGCCAGGGGCTCCACAACGAGACCTCGTCTCTGCTTACATATGCTCTGGCATAATCAGATAAGAGAGGACGTGGATCCCAAAACAGGATAACAGGCTAGTCCCCTGTGCCCTCTATCATTTGGTGTCATGTACCAGGCTTCAAAGTGGTGGGCCCTTATCCTCAGCATAGGATGGAAGGACTCTATCATAAAGATATGTCTCTGCCTAAGGCGTCTTTTGATTGGTTTAAAAAGGAGCTAAATAGGGCTGGAGAGTTGGCTCAGTGGTTAAGAGCACTGACTGCTCTTCCAGAGGTTCTGAGTTCAATTCCCAGCAACCACATGGTGGCTCACAGCCATCTGTAATGAGATCTGGTGCCCTCTTCTGGTCAGCAAGGAGACAGACAGAATACTGTATACATAATAAATAAATAAATCTTAAAAGAAAAACTATGTGGGAGGGGCTAGGAGGCCCTTTCAATTTAAAAAAATAAAAAGAGTTAAATAGCCAATAGCTAGGCAGGAGAGAAGAGGTGGAACTTCTGGGGAGAGAGAGGAACTTAGGAAGTATCCAAGCACGCGGGAGATGCCAGTGAGGCATGGAATAAGTTGGATATACAGAATGGGAGAAAGGTAAAAGCCATGTGGCAGAACACAAATTAAGAGAAACAGGTTACATAGATTAACAGAAATGGGTTATATTTATGTTATAAAAGATAGCTGGGAACAAACCCAAGGTAAAGGCCAAGCTTTCATAATTAATACTAAATCTTCATGTCATCTGTGTGCTGGTGGTCCCAAAAGTAGTCTGATACGGGAATCCTTTTCAGCAGGGAGCCATCTTTTAAAGATAGACGAGCCAGTTCCCACAGCAACTCTGGAGTTGATGATGCTGGAGCCTCAGCATCCCCAGGATGTCAGCCTCCCACGAAGGCAAAAGCCCTTTTCTCCTAACTGATACACAGACTCAGCATCTCCACGCTGTCATCCCGTGAACGCACTAACCTTGTTTCTCAGAACTGACACATAGACTGCCATTCGAAGGCGGGATGGTGGTGGGAACGTGAGGTCCTCCCAGGGGGAGAAATGGAATGCGCACACAGATGAGAGAGGAAGAGAATCAGGGTTCTGAGAATAGCCAGGCGTTTGGAAGAGGGCAGACAGGTGCCAACGCAGCAGGTGGCAGGCAAGGGGAAGGGAGGGCTGAAAAGGCAGGCGCCTCAGAGTTTAATTCTATCTGAAAAGACAGGTGAGGCTGGGATACAGCTCACTGGTCGGGTGCTGCTCTACAAACACTCTGTGCCTGGAGTTTTAGCACGTGGGAGATGGAGGCGGAGACACATGAGATCCTGTCACAAACAAAACAAAAGTGACTGCACAAGGCAGTGAGAACTTGGCACAGTGAGAGGGGGAGCCAGGAAGAAGACAGAGTGAGAGCACACTGTTCATCAATATGGGTCTCTGCTGAGTGTGGACTGAGACCAGAGGGAAAGGAGGCGCCAGGAGATGAACCTCTAACCTCGCCACTGGTACACACACTGGACTGAGGGATGAGGTTCCTGATGGGACAACACACAGGGCAGGTCTGGCTGTTGGGTACCAGGTTGGGACACAGCTGTGCTGTGGATCACATGTGCGGTAGCAGTGGCCCAGCACCTCCCAGCAGCACAGAAGCCAAATTCCCCCCACCATCATCAGCAGGGGCCTGCTTTCCATGAGAGAAACAGTTCTCTCAGGTTGGACTTCTCAGGTTGTACCCTGCGTCTCCTCAGTCCCCTGCTGGGCAGTCACTCACACTCAGGGTTGTGATATGCAACAATTAAAAAACAACTGAGCTTTCTATCTTTTGTTCTTGGCTAAGGGGAGAGGAGAAAACTCACCACAGGAAGCGCAGGCTGTTCCTCAAAGATACAGGCTTGCGAGCTGCCTCTCCGGTTGGAATGGTTCTTGAGGGGAGGAAACAGTAAGGCTTTTAGGTCTCCCCTTAGGGTGCAGACAAGGAGCAGGGTGAGGGTGATGCTGGGGAGGGTGTGGCTGCTCAGAAACAAGGGAAGACCCATGGGGATGCCTCCTCTCTCCTCCCTCCACCCCCAAAAGGGCCAGTACTGTGTGCACTTTCTCTGATCCCTGGCTGTCCACACATGGGCTTGGATTCTCCCTGCGTACACCCGTGCTAACTCATCCTTCATCCTAGTCGGTTTTTCTAACTAGTGCTCAATACATTCACCTTTCCTGATGGTTAGAGTGTGGCTCTTGTTCTACCTAAAACAAATTCTCACCATTTGCCACCTTAATTACTCCAGCAGTGACAAGGGCTTCCTACTGCAGCCAGAGGGCTAGATGGAGTCCCCTGGTTCTCTGGCTGAAGCCTTCAACAGAACTTCAGCTACCACTCTGATGTACAGCACCAAACATAGTGCTTCCGCCCTGGGCCCGCCTCTTCCTCAGCTCCAGTCACTTCCGGCCTCACAGCCCACCACGAGGCATTCCACTTCAATGACTTATTTCCTGGAAATCCTATATTCTCTCTTCCCTTTTCTCTTGATATACAAGCTCCTACCACTAACTGAAATATCTTGTTTTTGTTATGAAATGACATCAAAACTTATAAACACACATACACAAAATCAGAATATCCCAAATTGTATTGTTTATGGTAACAATGATGGTTAAACAATCTAAGTTCATCACAACAGGAAAACGGTGGATACTTTCAGGACAACTTGTACGTTAAGTCATGCCAAAATCTGAAGATTGGCTTTGGTGACTTGAAAAGTACATTGGTATTCATGGAAACAATCCGCATGGTTCTTGCTGGCGAGACGATAACATGGGACAAATTAGCAAGTGAAAAAAAGTTACCAAAAGGAATATATAAGACGATCACAAAGGGACAAGGATGTGGCTCAGAGTAAGACACATGCATTGTATGCATAAGACTGAGTCTGACTTTTACACCCCAAGCAACCAACACATCAACACAAAAGAGAAACACAAATAAAACATTTAGTTACGTCCAGAGGACCAGATTTTGGAATTCAGCACCCATCTGGCGGTTCACAACGATCTGTAATTACAGTTTCAAGGGATCTGATGCTCTCTTCTGGCCTCCATGGGTATCACACTCATGTGCAAAAACTCATATACTGACACATACAGACGTATACACATATACATTATTAAAAATAAAACTTCTATAAAAATCTTAAAAGTATATATGTGTATATATTTATGTTTATGAATATTTTAAAAATGTTTAGGACACTATATCCTGAGCCAGTAATAGTCACTGAGGAAACATAATTTATTGTTCTGTAGGCCTCAGTATTGTCTCAGGTTTAAACACAAGATGAGAATACTCTTAACTGGTAACACCTATACATGGTCTAAGCATGTATAGGTTCTGAGCAACATACTCAGGGACTCCTATTTGCATGGCAAACACTTCACTGACTCATCTCCCCATACCTAGTCTGTAAATCTGATGAATCCTTGACTAGTTAATTAATTAAATGAACAGGAAACAGAACAGGCTGCTGGAAGAAAGGGAAGGAGGAGGCAGGTGAACTGATTGATATTCATATATGTAGGTACATTTAACTGTAGAGTGAAGCGTCTAGAAAAAGGTGCTGGAAGTCTGCAAACATTGTCCACTGAGGTCCAAACTGAAGCCAGTCCCTCTAACCACTCGACTCTGAGATGTGGTGTGAACGTGGCTACGGACAAGTAGGAATGGCTGCATTCCAATGACACCTTATTTATGGCAACAGGCAGCTGCAGATTTGGCGCGCAGGGCGCAGCGATGACCCCTGCACTAGAATGGAAGTCTTGTGAAAGCAAGGGGTTCTGTCTGCTTTATTACAGAGACTCCCAGTGAGTGATTAGTTATGGCGCCTTGCTTTTGGTCAGCCCACAGGAAACAGTCACTTACTGAATAAAGCAGAGAGTGACTAGAGCAGCCACGGAGAGTAAACTCTGCCTTCTATTGAACCTGCCTCATGGTACAGATTAGAAAAAGCCAGGCAGAGTTTCTCACAAGGGTGGTGTATACTGGGATGCTTTGCTCTTGAACCTTGCTGCAAACAGCAAGAGAAACCATCACCTCTCTTTTAACATGGCTCTTATTGACAAATGTACTGCAACAGCTGTGATGTAATGGGAAAACCTCATAGAGGGGATGGAGAGATGGCTCAGGGGCTAAAAGCTCTTTTTGCTCTTCCAAAGGACCTAAGCTCAGTTCCCAGCACCCGTATGGTATTTCTCAACTGTATCTAACTCCAGTTCTTGGGGATCTGTTACTTCTGGTTTCTGAGGATGCCAGGAACATACGTGGTACACATGCATGCAGTCAAAACACTCATACACATAAAAATAAATTAAATAACAAACAAAACAAAATTCCTCATATAATCAAGAAAGACAAGTAGCCTCTCTCACCCAGGAACCAACCTGGCATACATAGGTAGGGTCATGGCAAACTCAAGGTGCCTTCTAATTTGTATCTAAACCAGGCAAAATAAAGTAACACCAGCTAAGCTACAACATGACAAGCAGCTGCCACATCCTGGCAGTAAAGTAACTAACTGCTCTTCCCCGCTACTCACTGAGTTAGTGTCACGCCAGATGAGACCTGACATACCCAGCCACACAGATCTCTCCACTTCCTGACAGCATCCAGACTGAAGTACTGTCTCACACCCTCCTTAACAATTACCCAACAAGGAGCCCAAATCCACTGTCCTCCTGACACCCTTTCATCGACCATGTGTGTTTTCTCTTGCTGAAATGTGCAAGAAACTCGGCTTCTGGCTCCCACGTTTCTGGTGGGTTTGCCAGGATAGTAAGGGACCCTGTGACTACAGCAAACACTTGGGTTATCCATACCCTGCTCCATACTGTTAGTGGGATGTTAAATTAAAAAAAAAAACAAAAAACAAAAAAAACCCAGCCACATGATAAAGACCCAACATGTCGTCATTTCATGTGACTTAAGACAAAGGTTTACATAAAGCATATTTATGATCTGAAATCACAAAGTATGACAAAATCTAAGACATCTTACTGAGCTGGTGACTGGCTGGCCGGTGGCCGGATTTCCATACACAGCAAGTCTGGTATCTAACTCTTCTGCGAGGTGAGCCTGCGAATCGACATGACCCGACGAAGGTGACTGGAAGGCCTGAACGCTATACACAGCGTTTTCATCATCTCGTATAATTTCCCAATTCTAAAAAGAACAGAATCCACGTGAGCCACATGTACACACTCATCCACTGCTTTAAGATGTGCAGGAAACAGGAAGAAAAGAAGGGTTCATACCTCGGGGGACTCCCGGTTCTCAGCACTATCCACCTCCTCTGATATCTGCCGCCTGGTGGTGAATGCTCGCTGTGCCTGCAGCTGAATATTACCGTTCTCAGCATCTGAAAGGTCATCCCTAGGGAGAAGTATAAGAAGGTATCACTCCTATCTCATCACAGTTAGAATCATAATCAAAGAGTCTGTGGTTAGTAAATACTTCGATTGAATTTACTGGCTTTGGTCAAAAGCTATTTCAATATGCTGACCATATTGTTAGGAACTGGGCAGGGGGAGAGAAAGTACCCTGGAAGCGGACAGTCTCCTGCGAATGTGTAACTACCAGCTGTGTCACTGTGCCAAGGGTGGTGTCCTAGTAAGCTTCCTGTTGCTGTGACCAAAGGTAACTCAGGGAGGAAAGGGGGAAAGCCTTTCTCAAAAAACCAAAATAAGTAAATAAATAAAATTAGTATATTATTATTGTTATTGGGTTTTTTTTTTTTGAGACACCTGGCTGTCCTGGAACTCACTGTGGGCTCAAATTCAGAGATCCACCTGTGTCTGCCTCTCAAGTGCTGCGACTAAAGGCCTGTGCCGCTATGCCCGACTCCTAAATACAATCACTTTTTAGTTGATACATAAAAAACGCATATCCTGGGGCTGGAGAGACAATTCAGTGGTTAAGAGCACTGGCTTCTCTTTCAGAGGGTCTAGGTTCAGTCCCCAGCACCCAGAGTGCTCATAGCTGTCTGTAATGCCAGGCGCAGGAAATCTCGTAGTCTCATGCACAGACGCACATGTAGGCAAAACAGTCACATGCACAAAGTAAGATAAAAATTACGAAGAAAACGACACTGGGCAGTTTGGGGTACTGTGTGATTCAGGGGTGCACACAGTGCATGACCGCGTAATGGGCAGAGCAGAGCAGAGTGCTGGGCGTGTCACCAATTCATTCTGGGTGGCCTGAACATGGGGAAGCTTCAATATTCAATACAGTAATATCAACCACAGCCACCTTACTGGTCCACAGAGCACAGTCACTGTGTCTAACTGTCCCTCTGCCCACAGTCATTGCCTCCCCAACCTGCTCAGCCCCTAGAAGATATTTCTTACTCTGCTGTGGCTGGTAAAGACGTAACTGGGAATGTTTAAGACATTTTTTCCCCACCTAAATATTGCCACCTGATTTTGATACTAGCCACAGTGAAAGACAATTCTGCTTGGCAGGTCTGTCTGTCAAAGATAAGAGGGTGGTTTTGCAGAATCTCCTACTTAGTAGTCGGAATGAGATCGCGCAGATCCTGATGCCTCTATGCCGGACAGTGTGACCACTGGTCTACTTTGGAGGGACTTGAGACTAGACAGGACCAAAGTTCTCAGGAAATATCAGATGTACAGTATCAGGAACTTAATGGACTGGTAAGAGAAACTATAAGTGTGTGTCAAACATCCAAAGACCGAAAACAGCTAGGGGAAGCCACATGAAAAGAAAGAAGGACATTCGATATTGAAAAGTCTAGAAATATATGCACAGTTTTTGTTGGTTTGCTCATTTGTTTTGGTGCTGGGGATTGAACCTAGGACCCTGAGCTTACTAGTCAAGCACTTTATTAGTGAGCTAAACCTTTAACCCCAAATGAAATCTTTGCACGATTTTATACCAAAAAAAAAAAAAAAAGAAAAAAAAGGTCATTAAGGAGATATGAACTCGCACATATCAGGGGTCATTCCATCCTTGTTCTCTGCATGACCAAATCAGAGTAGGGTCTTTAACATAGGATCCTTATTAGTGGTTTCTCTAGGACTTAAACATAATTTATAATTTATATTTTAAAAATGAAGTACTGGGGTTATAGTTCAGTGGTAGAAAGCTTGCTTAGCACGAACGAGGTACTTGCTCAATCTCTAGCAGCACAAAAACATTGCAGAGAATACAAACCGTATATTTTAATAGCCCACCCAAAAATTTCTATGATATGTGCATAAACTTGCTGCACAGACATACATGCAGGCAAAACACTCATACACATAAAATACCTAAGCCTAGGCTGGTCTCAACCTTGCTATAGTTAAGAATTTCTAATCCTCCTGCCTCCACCCCTCAAGTGCTGAGGGTACAGGTGTGCACTACCATACTCCATTTTCTGTGGAGCTGGGGATGGAACACAGGCCTCCTGGATGGCAGGCAAGTGTTCTATCAACTGAGCCACAGCTGAACCCTCAAGTAACCTTTGTGTGTGTCTACAGGCGAGAGCCTGGCATGGTAGATGCGCGGCGGTCAGAAGACAGCTTTTGGAATTTGGTTCCCTCTTTCCACTATGTGGGACCTGGGGGTCAAGTGTGGGCTGTCAGGCTTACTTGCCCTCAGATAATTTTAAATAGTATCATTTTTTTTTTTAAAAAATAAAAAATCTCAGCCAAGCTAGCAGTTTGTCAGTTATCTTACAGCTTAGGGATCCCTGTGCCAATATGAACCTGCTCGAGACATGGCATCAACACGCAAAGTAGCGACAAAATATATGCAGATGGGCACATACTCAGGGCTTGGTCTCTTCCACTGTGTTCTTCTAGAGTCATGGTTTACATAGTAGGTCCTTCCAAGGATATCCTGCCTCTCTTCCCACCCCGGAGGGAGGGGAGAAGGTTCTGGTGGACGCTGCAAGTGGCTAGCAGCATCTGGTTGGTCCAAAACAACCCAGCCAGGCTGAAAACAGAACGGAAGCAATTAAGTTACACTTGACATTTTTTTTAAAGCTTTATAAATTATAAGTAAAGAAAAAAAAGAAGAATTTCTAATTCCAGAAATTATGCATAAACAGAAGTAGTACACACTCAACCCTCTGTCAGAATGTGAGTATTTTGTAACCAAGGCTTTCCTGCAAAATGATAAGCATTTCAATTTTGAGGAAGCTTTAAAACTTTTCAAAAGGCTTAAAATACAAAACAGAAATAAAAAGAACAAAACAACAACTCCCTATCCTGCAAAAAATGAACCAACAACAAAAAACAAACCCCAAACCCTTTAAATCACTGAACAAGGATGGTGATGTTGGAAAGTACTGAGGAAATGAGAAACAACTGAAACCAGCTTGACCCTGGCTGCTCTCTAAGGTGCAAGCAACTGAACAAGGCAGAGAAGGGGCCTTGCTGGCCGTCATTCTCCCACAGAGAAGGGGCCTTGCTCATGGTGGAAATCAGCAAACACCACAGACATGAAAAGAGCTGTCAACTGAGGTCAGATCCTGAGAGGCCCAACAGAGACGAGACAGTCGCTGAGAAACACTCACCACACAGGGGTGTGTGCTGACAGACACAGCACTCTGATACTCATGTCTGCATTTTCTATTTCTCCCCTGGGCCCAGTACAGACGTTGTGGTCAGGTTGTAAAATAGTCAAATAAGGGATTTTAAAAAAGAAATGCACAGAGACTTGGTTCTTTAAGACTAAAAAGAGACAAAATGCATATATCCCTAGGGTAATTAAAGTAAGGAATTAAGGGAAAAAGACATTAAATATTAATGACAAACTTTGTAATAAAAACCTGATAACAGAGCCTAGAGAGATTGCTCAGTGATTAGGAACACACTGTTCTTGAAGAGGGCCTGAATTTGTTTCCCAGAATCCCCAGCAGGTGGTTAACAACCGTCTATAACTCCAGTTCTAATACCTTGGGGCTCCATATGCATGTGTACACAAGTACTTACGACGACACACTGACACACACACCTAATGATAAAAATAAAATTGCAAAATTTCTCTTGCTAGCTGGTGGTGGTGCACACCTTTAATCCCAGCATTCAAGAGGCAGAGGCAGGTGGATCTCTGTGAGTTTGAGGCCAGCCTGGTCTACAAGAGCTAGTTCCAGGATAGGTTCCAAAGCTACAGAGAAACCCTGTCTCAAAAAAAATCAAATAAAAACAAAACAAAATCAAAACCAACCAACCAAACAAAAAACTTAATCCTCAACAGGAGCTGAGGCATATAGCTCAGTTAGCAAAACATGTGTCTATCACACATGAGGCCCTGGATTCCATCCCTAACACCACATATATCAGGTATGATGGAACATCTCCCCTGGCCAAATTTTTCAAAATTCTGATAAAAAATTATTATATGTTTTAGCTTTTTAAAAATAGTGAGAGTCAATTCTCAAGTTCAAACAGAAATACATATAAGACATAACCAGTACCAGTCTAAGGAAGGAGAGAGGCGTGGAGACGAGCCTGTAAGAGAAAACATTCTAGGCTGCGTCCGCTAGTGCCGAGAGAGGAGGTACAGACAGCTCAGAGCAACAGACTGGGAAACCCAGAAAGAACAAAGTTCAGAGGAATTCAGCACATAACAAACACATTTTCAATCGCTGGGGAAATAGGAAGGTTATTTAGATAATGGGTACCTGTTGGGGAAAAAAAATTAATTTGGATCCCTATCTTCTGCCAGGATACACTACAGACCGAGTAATATTCAAATGCTAAAAAAGTAAACCCAAAGGGTAGCTGAACAAAACTGGAGAAATTTAAAGCAATATATTCCAGGAACAGAAAATATGATAGCACAAAAAGAGAGCACAAAAGAGAAGAATTATACATTTGACTGAAAAACCATAAACATAACAATAAACATATATGTGCCCATGCCCTGCTAAACCAAAACAAAGCAAGAGACACTGGAAAAGTCTTTGGTACTATGACAGATAAAAAAGACCCTGGGGGCAGTGCATGTGCAGGCAGATGCAGGCTGGGAAGGGGACATGGCACCGGTGGAAGACTGCACTGGAAGAAAGGGGGTCAAGAAAAGATGTGGGGGGTCGGGGCTGAGGGTGGGGAGGGGGAAGGAGACAGGATTACTTGGTGGAGGACTTTCCCTGGAAAGCTAAAGCAAGTCCCTTCTAGCTTACTCCTCTCTGTTTTTCTTTTTACTTCTATGGAAGCTAATGCCTCATTTTTTCCCTGTTGCTCAAATTCCATTCTCTTCTTTTCCTCTCTCACTTCATCTTCATTTTTCCTGTTTCCTTTCTGTATATGAGCATAACACTGAGACTTATAAGGAAAATCTTGGGGCTGGAGAGATGGCTCAGAGGTTAAGAGCACATGATGGCTTACAACCACCTATAATGCGATCTGGTGCCCTCTTCTGACCTGCAGGAATATATACAAGCAGACCATAATAAAAATAAGTAAATATTCTTTTTTTAAAAAAAAGAAAAGAAAGAAAATCTCATCTTGTATACACACAGTCAAACTGCATCTCCCGAGCCTTGGTCTCAGAAGCGGTGATCTGAACTTCTGTTACGTTCTTCTGGTAGACAGATCAACTTGAGATTTCCCTTTTCAATTATTCACTCATTTACTTATTTTTATGCGTTTGGGCATTCTGCCTGTATATATGCCTGTGCATAAAATGTACGGAGCGCCACGAACACCAGAAAAGGGCATTGCGTCTCCAGGACCTGTAGTTACAGGTGGTTGAGTCACCCAGTGGGTGCTGGGAATTAAACCTGAGTACTCTTGAAAAGGAGTCAGTGTTCTTAAGCATGGGGCCAACTCTCTAGTCCTGAGAAAGCTTTAATGAATGTGATCAATGACTACTTTGATCTCGGATTAATAAAATTTATCAATAAAAAAAATTACTAGGGGGATATAAGAAAAAAAGACACTAAGGAGGACTATAGGAAAAAAGGAGGTGGTGGGGAGGGAGAGAGCTGAAGTAAGGCGATGGGGGAAGAGGTGGGTCTTGGAGGAAGACAGGCAGTGACTCTGATCAAGACACATTATGTGCAGGCAGGTCTATGTCCCAGTGAAAGCAGCCTTCTGTGACTAAGGCACACCAACAAGAAAGGGTATTTTAAAAGGGATCAACCCCCTCCTTCGCCATACACCACTGAAAGTGACTATCAGAAGCTGGAGAGATGGCTCACTGGTTAAGACAGCTTGTTGTTCTTTGATTTCCAGCACCCATATTGGGTGACTCAAAGTGTCCCTCAGTCCAGTTCCAGGAGATCTGGTGCCCTCTGGCCTGCACAGGCACCTGCACGTACACAGTGCACGTAACTCAAGCAGGGACATACAACATACATATACACACGAATAAAAATCTTTGAAAAAAGATTATAAAACTATTAGAGGTAGGAAATAGTACCATTTTTTTCCCTTTATTTCATGAGTGTGTGTGTGTGTGTGTGTGTATGGGTAGGCACTTGCATTCCATGCATGCGGAGATCAGAAGACGCGGTTTTGGAATTGGTTCTCTCCTTCTACCTTGCTGTACAGGGTCTTTCTTGCTAGTTCTGCCACTGAGGTGCACACACTGGCTGGCTGGCCCTGGGGCTTCCAGGCAAGTCTCCGTTTTTCCCATCTTGCTGTAGAAACACTATCACGTGTATTCTGAGGATGGAGCTTCAATTCGGGTCGCTAAGCTTCACAGTCAGCATCTTCTACCCACTGAGTCATCTCTCTGGCCCCAGAATATTTCCTTGAAAATGTTTATTTCTCTCTTAAAGATCTGCTTTAGTGTTGTCCACATAAATTCAATAAGAATAATAAAAAAAAAGTAACTTAATTTAGGGCTTTAAAAAATGAAATGGTTTCAAATTTGATAAAGTACAATTGTACCCCAAATACTACTGGGAAAGATAATGTTTTCAGTCTTTGGGTAGAATTCCTAAGAAACATGGATTATCTATTTTTCTCATAAAATAATTTTCTACAAGCTAAGGAATCCTAATTACTAGTCTGAAAGCCAATATGCAAATACCTACAATTTAATGCAGTCAGAGGGGCCAGAAAGCAAGTACAGAGTGCTGAGACAAACATTTTATCCTAATCTTGTAAAACCCGTACAGCTAGCTCTCCCTAAGGCGCAAAGAGCACAAAGGAAATGCATTACATAACTGCTCCTCAGAGCCACTCTGGTCAGAAACGCAAGCTGCCCAGAAAGCATCTTCCTTCAGCATTACAATTGTTTTCTTCAAATGCAGAATTTTAAATATTTAGTCACAAACTAGATGTCAAAGAAGCAGGCAAGACTTCTCTGGTCTTTGGCTGCCCAGAAGATAAACAAGCACATTTGTGTGTCTGAATTCCTTGGCCTTTCCGTAAACAAACGACACGCTCCCATCTCCTGAAATTACAAGGTGGACTCTGAAGGAATTCAAACACTGCGATGGGAGGCCACAGCATGAAGCAAAGCCACTCTGCACCACAGAAGTGAACCATGAATGAGCTGCCTGTGATCCGTGTGCAGGTTCCTCAGGAATGAGACGCTGCAAAATGTTTCAAGTCTCTAGGAAAGTCTTTTCTTTCTTCACAGCAGACACCCTTCTTTTCAAACAGAATTATACCATGCAAGGTACCCTCTGCACTACTATGCCACATACAGACTTTGATACCCCACCCCCAAATCTCTTGAAAGCTTAAAATCTGGGCCAGTGAGGTGACTGCAGAGGTAAAGAATCTAGCTGTCAAGTTCATGTCTAAATTCAGCCGCCAAGACCTTCACAGGGGAAGGAGAGAGAACGGACTCCGGTCAGCTGTCCTGACTTCTACTAGTATACCATGGAACGCGAACACACACACACACACACACACACACACACACACACACACACGTGCGCGCACATGCACGTGCAAGGGAGAAAGGGAGGGAATGAATGAACAGGGACTCAAAAAATGGCTCAGCAGTTAAGTGCACTGGCTACTCTTCCAGAGAACCTGGGTTCAATTCCCAGCACCCACATGGCAGCTCACAGTTACCTGTAGCTCCAGTCCCAAGGGATCTAAAATACCTCTGACCTCATGAGCACCAGGCATACACATATAGCATGTGTACATTCATGCAAGCCAAACAATCACACATAATAAACACAACAAACAAAATATTAAAAAAGTGTACATCTAAAAAATTATTATAAGCAAAAAAGAGACAAACAGATCAGAAGCAAGGTTAATCAAACAGGTGGATGCATATTTAAGAGAGGATATGTAAGAAACTTCAGCTACCAACTTAGGGGTCACCTTTATTTTGTGACTTGAAAAAACAGCTTTTTTTCTATTTTCAGACATCCCCCCACAAAACAAAATTTCATTATTGCATTTGGTATTTATTATACCAAAAGCTTTGCTAATTCACTCCCTGCTCCAGAACGTTCTTCATCAAGGCATACAGGCACATGAGCTGGAGTCCAGGCCTCAGGCAGGTCCTGGTTTCATAGCTCTTACGGCGTTCAGAGCAGACTCTCAGCCAAACAAAGACACGACACAACAAAGAACCTTCTAGAACAGTTGGGCAACACACACACACACACACACACACACACACACACACACACTACGTGTGGCTGAATAGATGGTGCTCCCTTCAGATGAACTCTGCCTCCAAGGAGACCCCAGGAAGGCGGTACTTTGTCTTTTCAAACCTAGGGAAGAAATCCTATGGCTGAGGCAGTGCAGCCCTGCTTCCCCACAGGAGAGCTTCCCCACAGAAGAGCAATGTAACATATCCAGTGGTCAGTGCCTCAGGTCACAGGACACAGCTCATTTCTGGGGCTCAGTGGTCAAAGCCCACTTTACTCCAATACTCTCTTCCTCCACACACCCAAGGGTGTGAGCTCTACCCAGGCTTGGGCTTCTGTTATTGCTGCCATCCATGAAAGTCATGAGCTTATACTTATTTCAAATAAACACAAGAAAAGCAACAAGAATTACACATCCCAAGAGTTTCTTTTATGACAATTCAATAATAACATATTATAGCAATTTTAATATAGTAATATGTCTACATATTTAGCTTTACAAATACTAAATTATTTTCTTATTCTTAAGGAGACTAGGATATGGTTTTGAAAAACTAAAAACAGTTAATGATATAATTATAATGAACACTTGCACTGGTAACTATTGCATTTCCTATTTTCTAACCTTTAAGGCCAACAACAGCCACTCTACAGAAACATCTCCAGCGGGAAAACTGTTTAAGGAACATTTGATCAAATCAACATCCCGGTGATTCTTACTGCATGTGTTAGTTTCTCTGAACAACATTATTTTTCTACTTGGCAGCGTACGCAAACATCTCTGGGGCTCTCACCTCTAGTTCCTCAGCCTGATCTGCATTTTCATCGTCTGAGCCGTTGGATTTAGGTAAATAAGTCATTTTCAGTCTCAGATACCCTTTAACTCTTGATTTGTGGCTGTGGAAAAGAAATAATTATTCATGAAACTTGAATACCAAGAAGAAAGTATTTGGGGATCTACTAGTGGGGGCTCACGGTCAAGTTTCTGTGAAGAGGATATTCATCAAAGAGAGAAAGGAAAGGGGTGGGGTGGGAAGGAGGGGAAGAGGAAACAAGAAGAAAGGGAGGCCACCACACTACAGGTAAGGGGCTCGGGATGGTTAGGGGTAGGATTGAGACAATGCAGGCCCTTCAGTTGGGCTCCACGCTGCGGAGGGTTAGGGGGAAGATGACATGATCCATGATCAGAGACAGAGTGGAAGCCCAGGAGGCTTTGCAGCACAGTCAATGCAGACAGGAGACAGAATTTTTTGTTGTTGTTGTTTTGTTTTCTAAGAAGAAGGTAGTATACAAAGTTTCTAGCAGTTGAAAGGCCAGCTATCAGGGCAAGCAAACAAGGAGGAAAATATCTCCTTAGCTATTCCCGGTATGCATACATTGCAATCAGTCCAAAATTAAAGGAAGAAAAGAAATTGAACCCCAAGACTTCTACAGGAATTACATACAGGACTGTTCTCAAAGAGAATAAACAGTAACACAACCATAAAGCTAGGGCTCCTTTATTTTGCTTTAATATTTGTATTATAAATAGTAAGTTTAAGCAGTCATTTTAAATGAAAAAAAATTTCAAGTGCCCATAACACAATGCTCAAATGCATTTCTTATTTTGAAACAAAAATAAAGCAAATGCTATGGTTTTCCCAGATGTCCTCGATCTGCTATTTGGACTCATGATGGTAAATCACACATTCTAAATCGATTTTATTTGAGCTATGTGGCACAAAAGACCAAAAAGAATTTCATTTACAACATAAAATTTAAATTTTGGAAGACCAGAGGGACAGCTCAGTGGTTAAGAGCACTTTCTGTTCTTGTAGAAAAACCAGGCTCAGTTCCCAGCACCCGCACGGCAGCTCACAGCTGGCTGTGACTCTAGTCTCGGGATCTGACGCCCTCTTCTGGCCTGCCTGTGCATTGTATGGATGTGGGGCATACACACATTCAGGCAAAACACCCCTAAACATAAAATAAAAAAATAAATCTTTTAAAAATATTACACTTGACCAGTTGGGGGTGGTGGTGTACCCCTTTAATCCCAGCACTTGGGAGGCAGAGGTGGGTGGATCTTTGTGAGTTTGAGGCCAGCCTGGTCTACAGAGTGAGTTCCAGGACAGACTCCAAAAAAACCCTGTCTTGAAAACCAACAACAAAAAGATTAAATTTTTTGCTAAAAAAATAAACAAAGGAACCATGTAACCATGTAATCCAGTTCAGAAAAATGAAATTGTAATTATGTTATTTGGATTTTAAAATCTAAGCTCTCTTCATGCTATTTTCTCTCAATATATGAGTCTTTTAAAATAATTTTAATCACAATGTAGTTAGATTTTCCCTTAATTTGCTTTTGTGCATATTAAGCTAGACGTCTGTTTTACAGGAACTGCAGTTATCCGTGATAAGATGGATTTTCTTTCCTACTTTCTGTATCTATTTTAGAATTTTATTTGCCATGTGAACCAAGTACTTTACATTTTTTAAAGACTTACTTTCTTTTTTGTTTAGATGCACATATCTGTGTATGTGTGTATTTTGTATGTATGTGTGTGTGTATGTGTGACCATGAACACCAGAGGAGGGATTCAGATCCCGAGACTCAGTTCAATTCCCAGCAGCCACATGGACGCTCACAATAGTCTGTAATTCCAGCCCCAAGGGATACAACACCCTGTTCTGCCCTCAAGCACTGCACATATGTAGTACACATTCAGGTAGACACGCATATACAAAAAATAAAAATAAATAAAATCTCAAAAATATTATGCTTAATATGCTGTAATTATATATTTACTGACCTTCTTGGATGAAGAACAAAATCCTTAAATGTATATGGTCTCTCCATTCTTGGGTTCTCTGTCTAAAATGAGAAAAGGCAGTCAGGTACTTTTCAAGAATATTTATGAACCATAATGAAAGACTAACTGAAGAATGAGAAAAGGCAGTTTGAACTTGTTAGGAGGGTTAGCTGGTAACCACATGGTTTTGCTTCCTGCACAAGAACTGCAGCAACACCAGAACTAAGTGGGGACCCAGCAGAGCAGGTGGATGTGGGGTCAGGGCAGTGTGGGCGGAGCCCTGGCATCAGAGAAACATGTGATATGGAGAATGCCGGCCCGGAAAGTCAGAGTAGGTCAAATGTAGTCATGAACGCTTATGAGCACTAAACATTGCACGGAGCTACGAGTCTCCCTTCTCTTACTTTAAGGTTTATCAGTCCTTTGTTTTTTATTACGTCTCTGCTTCTTTGCATTCACTCTCTATGCCTTGAAACTTTATCTACTTATTTATAGGAAAGTTCTCATTATGAAGTCAAGCTGGCCTCAGAGTTGTCGTCCTCCTGCCTTAGCCTCTCAAATGTCACAATTACAAGAATGGGCTACCACACACACTGTGAAACTATTTCTCTTCTTTGGTTCTGTCCCCTCTACCTTCTGACTGACTTTTGATCCACCCATGCTGAGGTTTTCCATCTGGCTCTTTATTTTGCTTATTTGGACGGTGAGAACAGAACCCTGCCTGTTTCTTTCCCTATACAATTTACTTGTGCACTGCTACCAACTGCCTCTTTAAATGTTCATTCCTCCAAGTTTAAACATGCACCATCCATGTGCAGGATTCATCAGAAGCCAGATGAGGGCACTGGATCCTGTGGACCTGTGGGTTCTGGTTGTGCCAGAGGTGTGCTAGGAACTGAACTCAGGTCCTCTGTAATAGTCCTCTTAACTACTCAGCCACTTCTCCAGCGCCCCAGAGATGTTTGATTCTAAAAGGTTTCCTAAGCCCTTCCTCTGGCTGTACTTCCAACTCGGCTCTTAAGGTTCCACGTTTGCACTGTGGCGCAGTCTCTTGCTTCCCTTCCATGAGCCTAGGCTCCTGTTGCTCCATTTAGTAAGGTAATTCCAATCCCCCCCAGCCCTGTTTCCATCTTGCTAACCAATCCCAGCAGTTCTGTTTCTTGTTGGAGCTCAATTAAGGAAATCTTATAGACAAGTAAACAGAAAATTGAGATGAATTTCTGGAAGGAGCTCAGATATTTAGACTCATGTTGGCCATTATAATTAAAAATCATAAACACAAAACCCAAAATTATGAATACCTATACTAACCGGTAAGGGATAGAGTGGGACATCCACTTGACCTAGGAAATCATCTCTTGTCTGTAAAAGGAAGGAGAAACAGCATTACAGATACATTCAATTTCATTACTATGCTTTGAAGAGAAACTCATCATCCCCCCTAAACAAAAGAAAGATGTTGTTTAATCCACTGCAGCATTGAGAGAAAGTCAATGAAAAAATTCACGTAATGTGGCACAGAGTCTGGTGATGATGGGGCAGCAGCAACAAGGCAGCCCTCTGCAGAGAAGAACTGCGTTCTTAGACAAAGCACAACACACGCAAATGCAGAACAGAATGGCAGCGGCAGCAGAGGGGCCACAGTCACACAGCTACACAGACCACGTGGAAGTGTTTGGTCCTAAAACGCACATCTGCAATGTTCTGGCATGAGGGCTGGGAAACCCAAGTGTAGAGCTAGCAATGTTACTGCAAAGTGAGTGAGGATGTCTCAGAAAGTCTCAGAAAGACAATGACTCTCAAAATCTCTACAGAAAGTCGACCTGACCCTCACTGATCCCTGGACAGCTGCAGTTAAAGGACTGAGCAATGCTAGAGCGAGAGTGAGCGCACTTCAAAGAGAGAGAGCACAATGCACTCTCTCCATTAAGTATCATAAGCAGTGAAATTTACCAGGCATGAAACAAAGGGGAGGAATAAGGCAGGGAATCATTTGAAAAACTAAAAGAAGGCAAAGTTTCTCCATGTTTGGGAAAACAGAAGCGTAAGTTTCAATAAACTCAGCAAACCTACACCTGATAAATATGAAGACGGGATGAAAATGCACATCTCTATTAAATGCCGGAGATATGGGGAAAATCTTGAAAGTTGTTAAAATAAAGCAAACAAAAAACACTGTACACAGGGAACAAAAACACACATGGCGGTGCTGAAGAGGTGCTTGCTACTTCTCCAGAGGACCCAAGTTTGGTTCCCAGCTCCTATACTGGGTGGCTTACAATTGCCTATAATTCTAGTTCCACGATATCTGATGCCTTCTTCTGGTCTGCAAGGCCACCTGCACTTACAGTATATACTTTCCTACACACACACACACACACACACACACACACACACACACACACACACACAATTTAAAAAAATTATTTCATTTTATTTTTAAACATATGACTGTTTAACTAGCATGTATGTAGTGTACTATGTGTATGCAGTGCCTGGGGAGACCGAAAGAGGGTGTCTACCCTCTTGGAACTGGAGTTGCAGACAGTTGTTAGTTGCCATGAGGGCAATGGGAACCAAATCTGAATCCTCAGGAGGAGCAGACAGTGCTCTTAACCATTTGAACCATCTCTCCAGCCCCCATATACGTAACTTAAAAAATATAAAATATAGAGAAATATGATGGCAGGCTACCCACTAAAAATACTGGAAATCAAGGAGACAAAAGAATGCTGCCAATCAAGGGTTCAAAGTACTTAGAATTTTTATCTAGAGAAAAATATCCCTCAAAACTAAAAGGAAGACAAAAAGGCTTGTGGCAGATAAAGGGAGAGAAGCTTGCCCTCAGCAGGCTGGCAGGGTAAGCGGAAGGCAGCACTCACATGGTGAAAGACCCTGGAGAGACATCGGGTGCAAAGAGAGGAAGGAAGGACATCGGAAACACTAGCTGTGGAGCTGGGTGCTGGCTGAGTGGGTCAAAGCATTTGCTCTGTAAGTTCAAATCCCAGAACTAACACAAAAAATGGAGCGATAAGCTGGGAGGTGGTGGAGGCAGAG